GTCGTCGTCGTCGCCGTCGTCGTCGGGCAACGGTATCGACCATACAAGACGGCAGTAGACAAGAATGTTGATGGGGTGTCGAGTATCGGGTGGTGCAGACGGACAGAGGCTGCACAAAAACGAACTCGACGCTGGGCCAAGACGCAAGGCAACTATCGCAGACGGTTGTGAGCTGGTTGGCGGCTGAAAAGCCCGCACGAATCGAATTGGGTCGGCCAGGAGAGTTGCTGCCAAGACCAGGCCCGGATTCCCATCCAATGCCTCGGAGAGAAGTATCTACAGGCAGAACTGCGCTCGGTGGCGAGGAAGTCGCGCGACAAGGTGGGTGGCTTGTGGGTGGCCCACGGCGGCGCAGGAAATCGACGGTCGTGTGTGATTGAAGAGAGAGAGCGAGGCAGAAAAAAAAGAGCCGACGAAAGGAGCGAGGCGGCGGATCAACAGAATGGAAGTTGGGAGGGAGAATGGAGAATGGAGAATGACGAATGGGACCGGGACTGGTGCGAGTGTGAAGAGAGGGAGAGAGTCGCAACTCTGCGTCGAGTGCCGACTTGTCGCACGTGGAGGGCGAGGGTGGCCTGGTGTTGCGAGGCCACTAGGCGGGCCACGCTAGAGGAGGGAGGCATGGAGAGGCGTGCAGAGGGCCAGAGGGCCAGAGGGCCAGGCGTCCAGACGTCGACGGTCCAGACATGGAAGCCCAGAAGCCCGCGACTCGAAGTCTAGAAGGGCGAGCGAAGGACGACGGCGGCCTTTGAGTGGACGCGGAGGAGCGAGTGGGGCCTCTGGGGGTTCTGGTCGACGGCGAGGTGGGCAGCGCGACCTCTCGACCGTTTCGGGGGGAGGGGGGGAGGGTTCGACCCAAGGCCATTTTCGTCGAAGGCCAAGAAGGAATTCCAGAAACATGGAGCAGGCCGGACAATGGCGAATCGTAACAATTCGAGGGCGCGGCGGAAGGGGGAGCGGGCCTGGGCAGGTCAATGGGATGGAGGAGCATGGAGGGTCTTGGGGTCTTGGGGCTTGCTGGGCCCCCTCAAGCCCCCTCCAGCCCCGTCAAAGCCGCCCCATGCAAGCCATCAATGGCGAGCACCCAACATTGAAGCACCTCAGCTGGCACCTTGGCACTGGGCACTGGGCACTTGGCACTCAGCGGCCTGCACAAGTGGCCCTGGAAGCCGTTGATCCCGGCACTGCGTGCTTCAATGCTCGGCGAGATGTCGGGCTCCGTGCACCACTGGGCTGTCAACGGTATCGAATTGGCAAGTCCTGAGTGCGAGTCCCGTGGCCGCTCTTGCCCTAGGTGCTGGCAGTCGAGCCCAAGAGAAGCCTCAGGCCCGACAAACCGCTGACGCTTCAATATTTGCAACTGGTGATGAAATCCTTTTTGCATTTCTCCTCCTCATCCCCCTTCTTTTGTCTACTCACCATGTGGTCTATGCCCAGTTCCGGGCCCTGCTTGTCCTTGTCCTGTTCTCTACCCTTGGTCGGACACATTGCCCGACACATTGACATTTCATAAAGGCACCACCATATCCTTCTACAAGACGGAGCACATGCGGAACAGCTGTGCCACCGAGGAGTAATCTGGCGCTCTAGCCAACGCCGTCCAAGCCCGGCATATTGCAGCTTACACATTCTACGATATCTACTAGAGTACAGACGGATGACAAACGTCTGAAAAAAGACGGTCAGCCGCCGCCCGCAGTGCGCCTCTAATTCCCAATTCATTTCTGGACAAGAGGAGGGCACATCTCAGGTGCATGGCTTGAATGAAATGAATGCTGGGACGAGGCGTTGCTAGGCCGCTGCAGTAGCGACTGTTTTGGCAGAGATTGGCATAGTCGAGTGGCTGCACCACATGTTGCCGTGTCACCATCGGGAAGTGGGAGACACAGAGTTCGGCAGACTAACTTAACTTGACGAGTACAGTTGCTAATTTGATAGTGTGCGCCCTGCAGGCCCTGAACCAAGCATTCCTGTAAAGTACTACCTTTGCTTACATGCCTAGGTAGGCAGTAATCGCAACTGAGCTTCGAGCAAAGGAACAGGTTATTACTGTCGCTGTTGAAAGTCGTCGTACTCCGTACACCACATCATCCCTTCATCCTTACTTTCGTGTCTGGGAATGCGCATCCTTGCAACAGCGCCCGAGCGTTTGACCACCACCTTGAATTGGGTACAGTGTTCCGAGTCCGATCCGATGGGCGACCGACGATACACTTCGGCCTTTGGCAAACTCTATCTAATACTACAATAAACGGAATGGCTTTGCATCAGCATTACACGGTTGTACCCCCTCACCCAACGAGGGAAAGTAATAAACAAATGAAGAAATAAATTAAAAGAAGCCCCCCACAAACTGGTTGGAAAAGAAAATAGAATCAACTAAAAAGACAGCCGAGGTTCCGGAAGACCACGATGGGATCCGAAAAAAAAAAACCTGGGTCGAATATGGGACTCGGAGGGGCCGTGATGGATACGGGACGAGGTTGAGGCACCGCAATGCCAAATTATGTTCTGTTTCCTCTCATTACTATTAGTAACTCGGTCTCTCCCTGGCCCATAAACCCAATGAATACGGAGCACATAAAACATCAACGGCCCCATCTACCAACTGGGACCAATGAAACGAGACGTCCTGGCGCAACGATAACTACAGCCTCTGTCAGAATTGGCATCATGACCGGGTGTCGGCCGGTCGGAACGGAGCCCTAAGTAAGGGATCGGAAAGGCCAAGTTCTTATTATGCTTGCATGCACGGAGTAGGTACAATGGGGTACCTAGGTATGTATGTTGCTGCTTTTGTCTCACCCTACTTACGCCAGTAATGATGATACGAGCGCAACTTGCTCTGTTGTCTCTAATCGTCCTCGGTAGCGCCAATGCCTCAAGTACCGAAAGTGCTTGATATCTAGCTACGTGCCTACTAAGTAGGTAGGTATCCATATAGGCCCAAGTAGCAACAACAAACTAGCACTACTTCTCCCACAGAGTATTTGCAATACCTGGTGTACGGTATTCATACACACAACAACACACATACTTGTCGACAAGGATTGCAGTGGGCAACATGTGGACAGCAAGTGGGCAAGACTGCACCGTCGTCTCGGGGCAGTGGATCGGCTCAGCCGTTCCTGCACGGCAGGCCGGTGGCCGCGTGCGCACTACGGTCAATCTAGGAAGGCCAAAGGCAAGATGGAACAAGGTGAGCAGGGAGAATGGATGAGTGATGAGCGAGTGCTTTTGCAGCAGCCTGCAGACCAAGGTGTTGGTGTCGAGTACTCCGCACTCCATGCGCATACTCATACGAACTTGAGTCGGTATCTGGCATCAGCTGTCACTACTGATGAGTCTGACTGAGCAAGGGCATACAGCCAGTGGCGTTGATAGGGTGGGCGCTATTATCGAGAAGTGTGATGGCGTGCGGGAAGCGGATGGCAAAATGAGCAGTGGACAAATCCCTGTAAAGGTTGTGCGTCCATGATTGATTCAAGTCTGAGCGCTCCAGCCAGAGACGGGCAAAATCCTTGCAGAAGCCGAGTTGTGATCATGACGAGTCCAGCAAAGGACTGGCCAACCCTTGCGCATTATCCCAGCCTCGGGCTGTTTGTGGCTGCAACATTGGAAATACTGCCGTCTCACAGCGTAACAAGGCGGAAGCATAATCTGATACAAACATGGCTCAGTGAAGACGGAAAACGAAACATGCTTTGGACCGGAACCAAGGTTGAATGCAGCACAACAGTTACAAGGGATTTTCAAGCCGGTTCAGCGCAGGATGCGCCACACATTGCGGTGAGCGTTTACTAGCAGAGTTATATGAGTGGCGACGAGACCGATGACTCTTGCCGTCCTCCTCCCATTTATTATTAACCATACCACGGAGTATGGCTGGTGCAAGTTGGCCGTCGATTTGAAGTCTGGTGCGTCATTGGTGGCTTACAAGCTCCCCGTCGCCCGCTCCTTCTGTGGCGGGCAATTTATGCTGAGGGCATTTCGTCAAGCCGCCTTCAAATTTGCCTGCCGCCAGTGGTAGGCCCCATCCAGACCTTTCTTTGCCCTTCAAGCGCTGGCGTGCTGGCTTCTTGGCAACCACGAGTGAGTTGAGAATTCTGGGGTCGCTCGCGGAAATGAAATGCCTGGCCCACCATTCCGCTTCCGGATATCTTCTAGAATACCATCTCGAACACTACTGAGCTAGGCGCGAACCAAGCTAGGCGGGAACCGGGTTGCTTTTTCATGACCAAAAAAGCCACTGATTTGCCTCCCACAAAGGACCGCCCATGTACAATGTATGTATGAATGAATGTGTACGTATGTACGTATGTACCAACTAAAACTTGCAAAAAAATAAAGCTTTCGTATCGGATGACGTTGGCGCATTCAACTGCCGGTCTCACGCCGACCATGGACGCCGATCGGACCGCAGGCATCCCGAAGCCGGCCGACCCGACACCTGGTATTCCGGCAGCAGTACGCCGTACGGAGCAAAAGAAGAAAAAAGAGAACCAAATACTAGTTACGAATTGCTATATAATATGGAGAACTCGCTCTCCCCCCCCCCTCTCAGGCGCATCGTTTGCCAGACATCCCACAATATCGAGGCATCAAACAAACATGCGTCTCACACCAAACCTTAACCTTATTTATCCCCCTCTGGAAATTCATCTTCTTTTACCAAGTACTCCTTTAACTATGCCAGAAATGTCGTTACTTGCCCCCCGTTTTCACAACGTAACTCATGCGGCCACGAGCTTGTCTGGCCGTGCCATTGCCGTGCCGTTGCCACATCATGCCGCGCTAAAGGGAGCCGTCTCTATATCTATTTACAATCCTTTACTAATGCAGTGTTGGCCCGCAAGCGCGCCCTTCCCTATAAAACGCCCCAAGGCACTCTGCCCGACTCTTCTTGGAAATACCCCATTTTTATAAAGGCTGCTTTGTATTGTGTTCTTTTAGTAGTACCCCCGTCACACCGGTAGGTAATACGCACATGCTCATTGTGTCTAGGCGCTGCGTGTCATCTTGTCTCCCTCGAGATGGATCTCGGTTACTTCCTCCGACGCTCCTTCTCCAGCCCCATCTGCTGGCACAGATATAACCCCCTGCTCATCCCATGAGGCGCCCTCTTCGAATGGGGCCGCCGACGCCATATCCGTGTCTTGTTCGGAAAGTGCCTTGCTCCTGTCATCGCCTGATGAGTCAAACTGCGCATCGTCACTGGCACAGTCTGTGTCCCTATTGCCATTTACGCCGTTGCCGTTCAGGCTTGTGAAGCTCCAGCTTTGAGTCATGTCCAGGGCCCCCTTGGATCCGGAGTGATAGTTTCCCTCGTCCTCAATGCTACGACGGATAGTGTTGCCGTCGTATATAGGCAGCTCGTCGTCGTCATCATCCATCCCTGTCAACGGAGTTACTGTCGTCTTGGTTGATCGTTGCGTCATGACCTCTTCGCCAGATTCTGTCGCTTCGTTGTCAGAATGGACCGACTCCTTGTCGAACTTGTCAAAGATTTCCTTGAATCGCGGGCCTCCTAGCGGCCCGCTGCTACGACGACGGTAGAACAGCAGATATGCTGCAGAAGTGATGACAGACGTGGGATCCGATACCACGTGGACAGATGAATCTATTTGCCAATGTTAGCATTTGTGTCACAGATGTCCGTTAAGCCACTACTCGTTCGTGTGTCGCACGCACCATTGTAGTTGTACCACCGCCCGTCTACAAAATTCTTGGCATATGCCGTGTAGTGACCACCGCCGAGACCACCATAATGGTCATCGACTCCGATCAGATCGTAAATCTCGGCCTTGCCATCTTCCTTTTGAATCACTCTGGATGTAAGGTCCAGGCCTTCAATCGGGAAGTCAACAAGAACGTCAAGCTTGTCGCGACGCCAGCCGGAACTACTGAACCGCTTCAGATGAGCCACTAGAATATCGGGAGTCTTCCACAGATCGAACTTCTTGCTGGCGCGTCGGTGCTCCTTGCAGCGAGGACAGTACCACATGTCTTGCTCAGACAAGATTTCTGCTCGCTCAAACTCATCCAGACACTCTTCGAGGGTGATGCCGCGGGTTTTGCGTGTGACACGTCGTCGCTGAGTAATCTTCAAAGCCGGATCGTGGAGAGTCTGGACATCTACAAACGTCCTGGATCCCCGGGCAGGATCTGGCTTGTTTGTGTTATTACCAAAGGCGGCGTCCCAGGCATCCTCAGTCCAGTCAACAACGATGCCCTCGAAGAGGCGTATTAAGGGCCCGCCGTCAGAAACGGCAGGGGGCATGGGCTGAGGGGCAACGATATTCGCCCTTTGCGATAGTTTGCTTGCTCGGGTTTGCTTGTCCCGTCTTTTATTGCCCTTCTTGCCGTATCCTTTGTGCCCCTTAAACTTCTTGCGGCTACCCTGATTATACTTAGAGTTATGTCTACCAGATCGTCCATTAATCTGATAGATACATTGTGAGTATTTTTGCGACAAGATAAAGGGGGGGGGATTCCTCAATCATCCGCGTCTGAGTGGACTCTGGTGTGGCTTCATCCTCGTCACCGCTCTCCTCGTTGCCGGAGCCTGTACTGTTAGAGCTGCCAGGACTGGATGCATCGCCATCTTTCACCCTGGGTTCGGGAATTCGATCGGCAAGCCTGGGCAGCGTCCTAGTGTTATCAACATTGGACCATCCAGTTGGGACGGGCCCGTCAGTGTCATTCTTGAAGTAGCAAAGGTCAAAGAGGTTCTGAAGTTCTGGATTCAGGAAGTTTGCAGGGTCGGCAAATTTTGGCGCCTTCGTGTTGAACTGCTTGAGGATTGTCGGTTGCGTGATTGGAGAGATAGTGGCACGATTGCTAATATTGTCGACTGCGTCTCTCATCGTGATATCGACCATATCGTCTTCACCCTCAACGGAGTTGCTGATAATCTTGCTGTCGCCTGAAGAGTCAGCGTCTGAGGCTGTAGTGATGACCAAGTCTGCGTCGACACCGTCGGACGCATCAGATTCCTGAGTGTCCTTGAACTTGGACCACGTAGAGAATGTGGCAACCTTCTGCAAGATCTTGCGCTTGATGACGTCGTAGTCGGATGCCTGTTCTCTTGTCAGGGTAATAAAGTGAGGTGGTGAAATACCCTCTGGACCACGACCGGGAATTTGCGGTCTCCGGTGAAGGACTGGGACGACCATTGTATGACATTCCTCCTCGCTCCACTCTGCTGACTCTGGGGGCGTATCGATATCCAACATGGACCGATACTTTTTATGTGGTTTCTTACTCGGCCAGTTGGTAGGAACAGCTTCCAATTCGTGAATCGTTGGCGTATCCGAGGACTGAATCTCCTCAGATACGTCCTGGGTGTTGTCATAGATTTTAAAGAATCGATCCTTGAATTCCTCAGCACCCATCAGGCGTTCCACTGGAACACCAGTTCTGACCGAAATGAACTGCTTCAACGACTCCATGGAACTGTGTCTTGATAACTCGACCTCGATCTTCACGGGGGCGTCGTTGAGTGGGAAGAATTTTACCGACTTTGACCACATGTTCTCCAGTGGCAGCGGCAAGGTCAGATTGTTGAAAGGATCAAAGGTGATACTAATCTTGCCACACTCGGGGCATTTCAGTGTTGACTTGTATAAGCCAGTGAAGAGGTCCGCAATGACGGAATCATCCCGGCGACAGGTGATATCCCATACTTTATCAGCCATCTCTTTGATGGCTTCAGGATTGTTGATCATGTCGTCAGTGGAGTCGGGCTTTTCGATGTAGGGCTTCTTCTTGATTCTGCTCAGATCTTCTTGAAGGGCGTCGAGCAAAAATCCCAAGAATTCCTGGGAATCCTGCTGGCTCCATCCGGAAAAGGTGGGACGGCAACGTCCGACAGTTGATTTGAAGTCTCGTGGACTTACAGAACCGCGACCTTCCTCGTAGACTTCTCTGAGGAGATTACCGTAGGCGATGGCCACTCTGCCCTCGAAGCCTAGCACGTTGGTTTTGTTAATTTCGGTGAAATAGGACTCAGTCAAGAAATACTTGGTGAGCTCCTCGACGCTTCGAACACATTGCAAAGCAGAGTTCATATAGCAAGTGTTGCCCAGGTTGTGTAGACCGACGGCACCGATGCTTCTCCCATGTCGCTTCTTTTGCACACGGCCTCGAGTCATGGGGCCGTCGAATACGGGACTGCTTCGATTGCTGCTGGTCTTTGAGGAGATTGTGCTTCCCAAAAGGCGCGATGGTGTGGGCTTGTCAGCCGCCTTCATCCGGCCGGTGTAGTTGCTCACATAAGAGTTTCCAATAGCCTCATCCAGAACCAAGGTCTGGTCCGTTGTCAACTCGTAATGTTGCAAGGTCGACTGTCCGTTGAACTTGTCGTCGGCAGTGTGGTCGATGAGCGGCACAGAGACTCTTATATCTCTAACCTTCGAGAAGGAGACAACGTCGACGAGCAATGTAGGCCAAACAGACTGGTTCTCATTTCCACCACGAGATCTTCCAGGTGAATCGGGAGGGGTGAGTGCTGACGCAGCATCGGTCTCTTGTCTAGTCACTTGCGCAGAGGCCGGAATAGTGAACAATCGTACCTTGCGCTCCAGGCCTACACCGGCAAGGGTCTTGATCTCCCTGAGGAAGCTCTGAGCATGTGTAGTGGAGCTCCTTGCGACGATTAGAGGAGGTGGATTCTTGGCCTTGAGAGACTGTTCAATAGGAACGGTGCTGACATCGGACCATAGTCGATGTACGTGAAAGATGGGTGGGTGAAACTCATAGAGAATGTTGGGCGGCGCTTGTTTGCTATCCGCAGTGTTCACAGCAATGCGAGCAATAGGCTGCTGTCCTTCCTTTATGCCATACCAATCCATGACCATTTTCCAAGCATCCTCCGGAAATAGTTCGAAGGACTCGTTGCCCAAGCCAGGTATGAGACGCACAAAATCCCTGCCGCTCGAGTCTTTGATTGTCTCCTGGATAATGTCTGTATTGTCAACCGGCCCCAAGGAGATACTTTCGGCGCCAGCTGCGGCAGGTTTGGAGCCGGTCCGTAAAGAAAGGGCTTTATCGACCCAGGTTCTCGAAACTAGATAGGCTACACTGCCTTCTTGCGGGGGAGCTTCGGCAAATGCTTTTAATAGCATTTCGATGATTTTGACTTGTTCTAGCAGTGGCGGGGGTGCTACTGTTTTTTTGAAGAAAGAAAATTTTTTCCAGTGTTAGTATTTGCTCTTTTAAAATATTTTATACGTACATGTCCAAGTCTTGGATCAATGTTTGTGGGTGTCTGTTCCTGGCATATACTTATATACCATAGCATACAAAACGAAGGCATCATATTTTCTCAGGGTGGCATAGTTTCTTACGTTGAGACAGGGAGGCTTCGTGGCCGTTTACATCGGGGGCATCGACGCTCATTGCGCGGGGAAATTCAGTGGAGGATGGATCTATTTGCTGGCTGGGCTGAGAGGCATCCGTGTCCATGGTGGTGCCGTTCTTGGACGGAGCAGCGTCGGGATCCATGCTGGAGGCTCTTCGTTTTAATGGCGAGGAAGATCGTTGCGGCAGGTCGGCGTCGCCATTCATCATGGCCCTCCTTGGGACAACAAAGGGAGACTGGCTTCTGCCTGGGTTCCGTGCAGAGCCAGTCTCGTCCCCTCCTCTGTCGCTCTCGAGAGAAAGCTCAGCGTAGGCCGAGGCACAGGGCGAGGATGCGGTCGAGGAGGCGTAGTCGGTCGAGACGAGGGAGGCGGCGTGGGTGTGTTGCAACCGCGGGGGGAGGCTCGAGGCGGTTGCAACAGGCAGCGCCTCTGAACGGAGAAGATAACGAGGGGCCTCGGGCTCGCGGGAAGCAATTACAGAGCTGAGTTCGGCAGAGAAGGACAGGACAGGATCGTCGTCGGGTTCAACTTCACACGAGGGCAGGGCCGAGTCGGGGGATGGCGAAGCTGGAGCGTCCAATACCTGCTTGGTCGAGGGCGGCGGACGGGCAAGCCTTCTCTTCTTTGAGGAAGACGTCTTGACAGTGAGCTGCCCGAGCAGCTCGTGGACAAACGCGGGTGATGACGCCGGAAGCGACAGATAGTCTGATTCAGCGGAAAGCGAGGGACTGATGAAGTAGCCTCACGCATCTAAAGGGGACGAGAATGCGGTGGTCTTTGTGGCGACTAGACAGAAACAAAATGGGATTTCTGGGTTGATGGCATGGCACCTGGGACCAACGACTCGACTGCCTGCCTGCCTGGCTAGTGCTTGGAAAAGTCTAGTGCCGGCTGGTCGACCAGACGGCGCCGGGGGGCACTTGGGCAGCTGAGAGCCTCGAGCACACAGCGAGCGGCAGGCGGCGTCGGTGCTGGACTGGGGGGCTCTTGGAGCACAAACGGGAAATCACAGTGCTGGCCGTGGGCGTGGGCATCGGCCTGTCAACTCATGGTGGGGCCAGGCAGGGAAGAGCGTTTGAAAAAGGAAGAAAGAAGAAAGAAAACCGTCCAGACACTGGATGCCAGTGGAGACGGCTGGGGAGACCGGACGGCATCAAACAGTCTGGTGCACACCGGCTTGAGGGCTACCTGTATTGACTTGAGCCAGGCGCCACCAGACCCGTCAACTAATTGACTAGTAGTACTAAACCTGGTGCCTGTTCTAAAGAGTCAAGTTATTTGATGGTCTTGCCTGGTTCAAGTGTTGACAGAGTCCAAACCGCGCGGATGCACATGCACATTTGACAGTACACTTACACCCCATCTTCTAAACTCTCCCGAGGAACGCGGCGCGTTGGGACACATCACCCCGTGCGATGCCGTGTTACGGTCGAGGTCGATTGACAGCACCGGCGGGAACCGTTGTTCAGTTCTCCTCCCGCCTTCTAACGTCAAGGCCGTCGAGACCGTCGTCATGACACAAGCACAAAGCACCAAGGGTACTCCCAATGACATCAAGAAGTTGAAGGAACCACCCCGCTGTTTCCCAGTCAATGATGCCGACGATCTGGTTCCCCTTGACCAATGATTGGCCACATCTTGGCCGCATATCCTATTGCATAACATGCTTTGACATCAACTGATGCTAAGGAAAAAAATATGGAGCTAAAAGGAAAACGAGCGAGAAGGCCTGAAATATCGAGCAAGCCGTTTCGAAATTTAAGATCCCGGGGGCGCCGACGGGGACGGTTGAACTCGCCTCATCAATCTGTTTCAAGACATCTATAGCTGCTGGCCACACTCTATTTTTGCTTGAATTGAACAAGGAACACGGACTAGTCATGCTTCTGCGATTCGCCCTGTACTTCCAGCCACGTACTTAGGCATGTATATTCCGCCATCATGACATCCAACATACCGACCCGGCCTTTAAACTAAACTCATCTCAGCAAGCCTGAACGCCGACCTCCTGATTAGAGGGGTCCGCTTCTATAAAACAGCACTGTCTACATATAATGTTGCTGTCCGTCGCCGGTGTTGCTCGTCTAACCTCTTCTATGACTTTTCTGCGCCTGCAACTCTTTGCTACCAATATGAGCCTCCTTATTGCTCTGATACCTCAAGTTCAATTCGGCTCATGCCACATGGCGTGTAGTCTTCGCACCAAACTAAACAAATAAAACCAAAACGCATTTAAAATAAATCAATAAAAGAAGAAAAGGTGTCATGTGGTGATAGTGGTTTGAACAGCAAGACAGAAGAGCCATCAAAGGTAATGCCATCGCTCGGTAAGCGCTAGACCAATTTGCATTTTAATTCTTCACATCTTTGATTCTCACTCTTATCCTTTTTTTTTCGATACTTCAGTCTGCTTATAACTTGGCATCGGTCTCTTCAAACTCACTCACTTGCTTGACAGGTCGGACGCCTGAGCTAGCCTGCAGACTAGCTTTGAACTGGCGTACGTCGGTAATCTTCTGAGCTGTTTCGACTGCGCCGGTATCTTTCGTAGACCCATTTGTTGCGTCAGTTTCGGCAGCCGGAGGAAGTCCGCATTTCTGGATCTTTGAAATAACAGCATTCAGCTTTTCGCTTTCGAGAATCTCGCCGCTTTCAAGATACTCGCGTAAGACGTCAACACTCCCCCGCTTCTTTTTTGGGACATCCTCAACACCTGCTTCTTTCAATATTTCCATGACTTTTGTGTCCAGGCCGCGTGCCTTGAGGTGCACTGAGATGCGAGAACGAGTGCTCGAACAGGGGTGGAAATATGTCTTGTAGAATTGCACCATTTCCATCTTGGTAAGTGGCTTAACGTGGGCTGCGTCGTGCTGGTCTGTTCCGTTATCTCAATGTCAGCATACTTCATTCATATACTCCAGGTCGTCTGCAGTGTGGTACATAGTAGGCTTCACTCACTTAGCTCGAAGTCGTAATACTCGCCATCGATCTGACCCCATTGTCTCGACGATTCCTGATCGAGATTACGCAGTTTCTCGAGGCGTCTCACAATCAGACTTCGCTTGTGATTCTCGAACTCGGAGTCGCTCATCTGCTCAAGCTTCTTCCCAAATTGAACCAAAAAGGCCTCAATTCGTCTGTCAATGTACTTGGGTTTCTGAGTGCTTTGTATCAAGAATCGAAGTCCGGAAGTAGTCGAAAAGGATCTCGTGCCTGAGAAGACGACATACCCAAGTTGCTCCTTGGTGCGAAGTTGGTCAAACGCGGGCTCATGGATCATCTGTGCAGTAAGAAGGGTCTTTGCTCTGAGTTGACGGTCGGCTTCGTCGCCAACGTAAAACCATGTCTCAATACAATGATTAATAGTTTGAGGATCTTTCAGCTCCTTCTTGTAAACAAAATTGGAACCACGGGGGAGTATGAGCGAGCGAATAATCGGCCACTGAGACCGAGGCAGAGGGCGAGGCCTGAGCATGGACTCGACCATGTCAGTCAACCTGACAGCGTCGCCTCGAGACAGGTTGCCATGTGCGTATACTTCAATGTACAACTGAGACAGTATTTGCTTTTGGAAAAGTCGCACAGCACCAGCAGTGGCGTGCTTAAGCTCGGCAGCCATTTCCTCTACATTGTAACGAGTCTCGGAGTTAAGCCACGACAAATAGCCTCCTATTTGTTGAAAGGACGACTGAAGTTGTGAGTTTTCATAGGCACGTACAAGCCGCTCATGGACGATATGAAAGCGATCCTCCTGGATATCGAGGTCTCTCATGGTGTTAACCACCTGCTCCAGCATGACAGGGAGTTTCTCATTGTATCCAGAGAGCTTTATGCAGAGCCCTCGCGTATCAAGCGAGGCGCTATACTGTAACCCAGCGAGTGCAGCATCGTATGAATATTCCTCGAGGGCATCTTCGACCAGCTGAGTGAAGAGTGTTGCCTCGACGCAATTCTTCACAGATGTGGAGATAATAGGGTTTTGTAAGCTAACAAAGACATTTGCTTTGGGAACCCAAAATGTATCGTCCTTCTTCCACCAAGTCCGCGCTCCTTGGTCATGCCGTAAGACCCGTGGAGCCAATGCAGGTTTTGAGACCTCCCTTTTCTCCACGTCAAACTTATTGGGGATGAAGTTGTTCTTGTGCGGCAGATGTAATTCAGGCAGACGCTTATTTTTGGACATTGTGAGGGCCTTTTGGAGTTCGGCCATGAGGCTCTGGGGTATTTTTTCGTGACGGTACTCTGTTCCATACCAATATTCCCTCTTGTCCCAGTTTCCTGGATACTCTTGAGAAACAATGACAAGTCTCATGTTCTCTGGGCGCAACCTTTCCAAAGCCTTTGTAATAAGTGAGGCGTCAAAAGTTCGCAATCGCTTTTGTCCGCTAAGCAACCACTCACGGGGCAAAGGCTTCTGCATGACTGAGCTGATGGAACTCGTGAATTTGCTAGCCAGTGTCTTTTGTTTAAACTTGAAGTCCTGCTCGGCCATGACCTTCTGTTCTTCAAATATCCATTCCTGCGGAGGACTTTCCCGTAGCATTGCGACGTACTGGAAAAAGATCGTAGGGATTTCGAGGTAGTGATCCAATCCCTAAATTCAACAACTCTGTTAGCGTACACGGCCCTGGACCATGCATGACTGGGGACTTTTGTACGTGCCTCCTTGGTGAGCCTCACTTCCATTTCAAATATACTGGGCGATCCAGGGCACACTGGATACGCACCGGCAGATAGGCTATTGGCCCAGCCCTTGTTTTTGAGGTATGAGAAGAGGCTGCCGCGGCCTTCATGCCCAACTAGGTGGCTAATGTATCTGCTCGGCTGCGTCTCAAACATACCCTCCTCATCAATGAAGGGAAACAACAGACTCAGAGTTCTTGAGTCCAAGACTGGTTTGGCAAAGCACTGCGTGCCCAGGTCGGCATCACGATACAGTGGTTCCTGGGTCCACCTGTTCGGAGACAGATTCTTGTTTTCAATGCCCGAGAAAAGTTCCACGACCCATTTCTGTAGTACGTCAAGGGGCTCGCGGCCAAGAACAACGAGCTTCATTCGGTTGGCAGAGTAGTGCTTGTCGTGGAACTCGACGAACTTGTCGCGAACATTGATCCCTTGTGATTCGGGTTTCGTCTTGAGCACTTCCAAGTTGCCCGTAGAGAAATGACAGTAAGGGTGCTCGGGATTGGCTAGTGACTTGTTCAGCTGGTTTAAGCGCCAGGTATCATTTTGCAAGTTCTTGCGGTTCTCGTCATTCACAGCGTTCAACTCTCTGTCCAGCGTGTTTTCCAAAAACAAGGGCTCAATAAAAAATTGCGCAAAGCGGTCAAGGGCCCCGAAGAGCGGTGACGGATTGGCGTCTGAAGGTTCTTCATCGTTGGCTGGCTTGGCCGCCACCTCAAAGAAGAAGTTGGTGGAAGTAGCCGCCGTGTAGGCATTGCAGCTGCCCGAGTTGGCAGCCAAGTACTGGTTGTATTCGTTTTCCCCGGGATATTTCTTTGTGCCCATGAATAAAAGCTGCGGTGCTACAAGCATTAGCCAATGGGCCAACAAAGAAAAAACAGTGCAAGTACCCGGATGGGCTGTTTATACTGACATGTTCTACACCATGTGCCAAGCCAGGCATCTCTTTGGAATCGCTGAAATTGCCAACATTGACGTCCAAGGCAGCACTGGCCTTATCGGCCTTCGGGTCGTGGACGAGAAGCACCTCTAGCCCGTTCTCGAGGCGGACAACGCGATAGTCACGGTCGTCGAGCGAAGGCTTTTCGAGGCGGTCCGTCAAGAGAACCACAGGAGCATGGCGGCTGGTTGCCAAGCCCGAGGAATGTGCAGGCGGCATTGTGCAGTTGCGACGCGAGCCAGGCTCACGGAGGACGGGTTGCAAGACGCTGTGCGAGAGTGAAGAGGTCGTTCTGGCTGGCAACGGGGCAGGTCTGGTTGTATATGCACAAACCAGGACGGGATAAGAGAGGTCGACTGGTGCCAGACAGAGCAGGTCCAGGTGCCGTCAGATGATGATGATGGTGGGGTCAATAGGTACTTGTACCAGACAGTTCGAGCCAGCCGATGTCGCCAAATGGCCTCTGGGTCTGTGCGATTACTGTATTCCGCTAGTGGATGGGAGGGATGTGGCGGCCCATCGGGTGGGAAGAAGGTCAAAGAAGATATGATGTTGGTGGCGGCGTGCGTTTTTGTTTGTTTGTTTGTTGGCTTGCTTGTTTGTTTCCCGGCCGTGGTGGCCAAGACCAAATCGATGGGCGCTCTGGCTGGTGGTTTAGTGCCCGAGGACGGCGTGACGACAAGAGTACATGTAGCTGCTCGCTCAAGTCGAAGCACAGGGGTAACTATGTGAGTTGGTGGGTTAGCTGGCAACACGGCAGCTCAGAGTTGTGTAATTGAGCCAAGGAATGAATGCCTTGGGTCGAGGCAAGGGGCAATGTCTGGGACCAAAGAGGCGCCACGATGCCGGCGCGGATCGTGCAGAATGGCCTTCGTCTCTGGTATCTGGCTTGCAAGGGCGCTCACTCACCGACTTTGGTTCGGGTACGGAGTACTCGGTGCCAATGCTCGAGTCTCGAGCGCAAAGATGGACCGGCCGCGGGACTGCGGATAGCTCGCCTTTTATATCACCACCGTTGGGTGCAAGCATGGGTATTCAGATGCTCGCCAATGCACAGTTCGTCAAGCAATGTCAAGCAAACAGGCATCCGATTGACACCACAAAGATGGAGTAACTATGCCCAGTCTGGCTTGGCCAGGTTTGGAAGGCGTGATTGCTGTGCCGCAAAGTCAAGGACTCACTCAGCTTTCACATATCCACGTCACCAGCCGCTCACACAACTCAGGGTGAACCAAAGACTGAAGCGAAGCGTCGTGGACCAGCGCGGAAACCGGCCGCAGAAACACAAACAAGCAACATCGCTACAAGAAGCATCAATATGACAATCTCCCAAGGGTAATCTGCAGCAGGGACCAAGCAACCGTGCATGGATGGGCAAACTTTGGAACATGGGATCGTTGGTGTGGTCGATGGTACCACTCACACACCCCATACTCGATCCACTTTGCCCATGTTCAACCACCATGTTGGCTGGATGTACGTAGTTATTATAGTAGGTAACGTTGGTAGGCTATGTGTGTGTCGTGTCGTGTTGTGTGCATGTGCATGTGCAGAGTATCGAGCACACAGTCAGTATGTACACCGCATTTCAACACCTCAATTGCAGCCACGACTTCTCCCGCTTCGTTCACTGGCAGCATCTGGACAGACACATCAAGGCCCACTGGTTCAATGTTGGGCCTCCTTCACGCATCACCAAGAGACCCCAGCCTGGCTGGTAGCTGTTGAGACAGCATGCATCTAATCCGGCAGACACACACTGCATCATAGCTCTCGATAGCTGGATCAAGCAGTGAATGTCTATCTGCTCCGGCACGGTTGCCAAATGCGGCCGGTTTGCAATGTACATGTGAGACCTTGTCACACGGCGTGAGACTCAACCATATGCAAGTTGGCGCCAGATGCTAGTATGTATTCACTGCTTGCTTGTCAACCCGCCTACCAAGATGGATCCGTGGCCTTTTGTCATAATGCATGTGTGTATGTGCGCTGCTGTCTGGCATGCAATTCTCGAAAGTAATGTCGGGCCAACAAATTGTCAACCATTGGCGTTCCGATTCTATGAGCACGACGGAGGGCTTCTGGGCGAACAAATGGAGCCTCGACTTATGTACTCCAAGCCTTCTTCCAGGCACGCCTGAATCGCCAGTCGCATTTCTGTTACGTAGTATTTGCAAAGTTCTTGGTTTGCATCTGGTCTTGGTCACCACCAGCCTCCAGGTGAGGCGCCCGACTACCTCGCAACGCCTTCTCAAGCACAAAGCATCCATCACGATTCATGTTCAGGGTCGGGTCGATGGGTACCAAGTCATTGGTTTAGACCTGTCCACTTTGAACATCACCCTCCAAAACACCTTGAGGGCGAGGATCCCGACTGCATGGCTGTGGCACATGCCGTCTGCAGCCCTCACTGTTCCAGGTAGATAGGCTGACAGGGGCCTCAAACCTAGAATGTATGTCCTCCGTACCTGCATGCATATTGTGGTAGTATTGGTATTTGGTATTGTGGTACTCCGTATCGGGGCATAAATGCTTCCTACAATGAGTGTCGACTTCCAGGGTTCTGGTTCCCTGGTCCATATCCTCGGGTTCCAAAGTTAACGGGACCCTACCCCTCTGGCTTGCTGTGCCTTCTGGGGTATCTTTCTGTTCCTTTCTATCGCCCGTGCCTCAAGCCAACCTACTCAAGAGCCCAGCCGCGTTTCCACTCAGTGGGTGGCTACGGGGCATCGTATCCGATAGGGGTCGAGGGCTTAATACATGCGGGACCCTGAGTCGTTCATTGGCATAGGAAAGATCCAAGTCGGTGATGCCACTCTAGGAACTGCCATCTGAGTGCTCAAGTATCTGGGTATCTAGGTAATGGCATGGCATTAGTTTCCACGTATGTGCGGTGCACGTCCTGGGCATTGAATACTGACGAAAACTTGTATGTACACATGGAGGTGCGTTAAAGGGAAAAACAAAAACTGTACTGTAGGTGGGAAATGCAAGGTATGCAACAGTGCATTAGTGCAAGTAGTGCAAGTATGCATATTGTGCACACCGCAACCTTGAATTCTATTCCGGAACCTTCCCCGGGCACGGGCACCAGACGCTCTATCCCCAACAACAAACCCCAGACACTACCAGACCCATTGTGTATATAGTATTTTTGGTTTGTAACCGCACAACAGATGAGACTTGGTTTTTTCTTTTCTTTTGCATTCGCGCACCCATGTTGAGTAGTATTCACCCGCCTAGCACACTCCGGCGGGCGACGGCGGTGACGCGTTGAGCACCCCATCCGCCTCGAGCTTTGCAAGTTGCTACTATCTGTAATAATCGGCGCCCAGCATACGAAAATGATAATGTTCGGTCTCAATCAGTCGGTCAAGACTATGGCCAGGATTAGCTGGCTTGTCAACAGCCTACTGCATGTTACGTGCCCCATACTCGTGTATACCATCAAGCCGTACGTAGTACGTCCAAGTGCTCCGTAACCATACTGGTTCTCGTTCATGAAGCGACTCAAGGAATTGACTCGTCAGTCCCAGATTGTTGCGAGAACTAAAATTGCGCTCGCAACCATGACTATCTGATATCCAAGGGGTATCCAGCTGAGTGATTATCCCCCACAATCCAAGTCCCGGCCTTGACAGGCAATTCGCCATAGCGCACCTCTCGGCACTAGGTATCCGCGAACACGTACGTGTAGTGACCATGTCATTCAGCCTTGGCTATCAAGACTTGATATTGCAACAGTCAATTGTGAAACGAATGTTCTGCAATGCCCCCTATAGACTCTCTCCAATCCCTAGTCTAGCGCCCGTCGGTCAATTAAATGCCATGTAGCAGGATCGTAAGAGAACCAAATTGATCTGCGATGATGGCGCGCAGCCCTCTGAACAGCTATCTGAGATATACTCCGTATTGATCCAACATTAGTTGGACAAATACCTAGTCTGCAATGCATCACATGGAATAGGAAATGTTTCCATAGAAAGAACCAGGCTTTCTATCCAAGCCTTGATGTGCAACTCATTGCATCCGAGAGTAGCGGACAGGCAATGGCTTTCGCATCCTGGTGAGAAATCGCCTGAGCATTAATGTCACTTAGCTGTAAAGAGTCCGTTACTTCGAGAGTGGGCTCAGAATTTGAGGTTGCTATCAATGCCACCAACTCTTCTCATCACCTTTGGTGAGTAGCCGAATGCACCCCATTGCTTCATGTCGTCGCCGTTTTCCAAGTACGAAACGTATGACACGGTCGTACATACACGTTTGCCATATTGGCACACCGAGTGAGTCGTGTTTCGGCATTTGGAATACTCGAGGGCATGAACGACAACTACTCTAATTCAAGCGACGGAAGGGTGGCTACCCCGGCGAAGGACAAGGATTGTTTTTCATGCACGTGTATGATTCGACATGGTACGTAACTGCACTGGTCTTTGGCGTGGGCACTTCTCTGGACCTCTGGATAGGCTCTGGATTCGAGGCTCGTAATCCATGTGTAGCAGGGCGTACCTGGCATAATAGTCTTACTGGGCTATGCTAGCTCTCGGCCCGGGCCTGTTCGGAACCGTATTCTAGTCATGATTTCAATGCAGGTATCGTTAAGGTGTGGCTGTGCTCCACCTGCTGTTGGACTGTTCATCATGCCCTTCTACTTGGATGTCGGTCTTGGAACACGACGCTGCCCCGGTAGTTTAATAGTCCTTGATTCGGAGCAGATGTTGACATAATGGAGGTGGTTTCCAAAGGGAAAAAGACCTCTATATTGAAAACTTCTTATCGGTTCCTGGGCGGGCGAGTACTTGATAATATAAATTATGCATCATGTGTCGCCTAGTAGTAGTTTCAAGAGAACGGAGGTGCATGTGATAGGGGCCGACCCATGCAGTTTTCTCTCCAAGCTGAATTCACTCTGGGTGTCCACGCCAATGGTACGAATTATTTGCGTATAAATTGATCGGTCGACTATGTGCCCCGGCCACTACCGGTCTTGGATATCTCGGTGGTCACCCCTGGGAAACAGGAGTTGACAGGCTTCGCTGGTCACCCAAGACAGGTTCGTCGGGTAACGGTCACGAGTGGAAAACTGCCATTGGACAGTATCGAATCAGGTCCCTACTTAGTCCCGGCTCCCTTCGCTTGCCACGATAGATAGGAAACTGACACAATACTGTCGTATTGTATGTTCAATCGCAAAGTCCATCAGCAGCTGTTGATCCTGGGCTTCATCCTCGTAAACGGTTCTGCATTATCCAGATGCCAGTGTAGGGGCATGTATGAGACGGAAACTGTGCTGTCACGCCCAATTGCATTCCGCCGCGGCATGATTATAGCGGTTGTTTGAGGCGCACGCTCCGCTGACAGGAAGCATCGTGGCACGGCCGTTCCAATTATTTCGTATGTAAGAAACAACGGCTTGATGTAATGGCTAGAAAGATGCTGCCCTAGCGCCATACTATGAAAGCGGGTGTCAGAGCGGATATGAATTGAGAAAGTAGCATCGCCACTCTTTACCGAGTTATGCCGTTAGCCCCTTGTACTTCGCTTAGAGCACTCTGAAGCTCTGTGACCAAGTTGTTGGCAGTTGTAGCACTTTATTGCCTTTGTGCTTGGGGATCCTTGGGAACTGAAATTTCCATTGCCAACAGAAGAGATGGAAGTCAGCTTATTTAAGCGAACTTCCTTCTTTTTTCTCTTATCGCGAAATTCCTTCGCCTTGGAAGCTTGGTGGCCATGTCGTGACCGCGACTGTGACCGGGATCGGGATCGGGAGGTTGTCATTCTCTTATTTTCGTCTGACGATCCAGTCGTATGATCTCGGCCAATGGAGTCGCTTTCGTCATCAGAGGTTCGACGTGACTCGTCGCCAGACTTGTCGGAGTTACAACGCTCGTTTGACTGCTTGCGCGTTGTTAGTAGAACCATTTGCAAGTTTGCAATGTGAACTCTAGTTCGTTCTCTTCGGCGATTTCCAGGCTATAAACGCACCTGTTCTGTTTTCAGAGGTTTGTGATATGTTCTTCCCTCTGCAGGATTGTCCTCATTTTCATCAGAATCCTTGGACGCGTCGATGTCGCCATATCCTACGTACACAATATTCAGAGGATGTGACTGCTTCTTGTCTTGGGACTTGTCAATATTAGCTTTCAAAACCCAATGAGTGTCAGCAGCAGAATGTTTTGCTAGCGCTGCTTGACGTGTGGCTTCTTGATCATCGAGAGCTGCTTGTATCAAAGCATGGTCAATGTTAGGATTAATGCGGCCAGGTGCTGGAGAATAATCTAATTTTCGCTTCTTGGACGAAGGAACATCTGAGCCCGGAGATCCGTTAGACGAAGCTGATGCGGCTGCACGCTGCATAAACTTCATCGTCAAGAGTCTTGACGAGACGCCCTTGGGTGTTTCTGGAGCCATTTTGTGGATGTCGAATGAAAAGGTAGAAAATAACAATTCGACGTGAGCGAATACAGGGTTTTAATTCTTCTTAAAGTCGCTGAAACACACACCAAAAAAGAAGCAGAACAATGAAATGCCGATGCAGACGGGCAAGTTATTTGTTTCTCTAGGTTGGGTGGAAGTCTTGGGCAATGAGCTTTTCAGGGTGCAAGCTTCACCCGGAGCTTTTTTGGAAGGATCCCGGAAGAATAATTATTCCGGCACATCATCTTGGGGGATCGAGTAGTACTCCCGACCTCACGCCTAGAATATGCTTCTAGTGCAGACCTGTAACCGACAACACTGCTGACTTCGTCTTCGGAACTATGGCGTCCTCTCAATTGAGATCGATTGGCGCGTTCGCACGCCAATTGCGTCTTCCCCGACGTGCATTTACCACCACTACTCGCCAACTCGAGGCTGCTGTCCCTGCAACTTCCAGAACCGAGACTGCTCTAGCAGAAGAGAGTCAACCCAAGCCTATCGAACAGGCCCCAAACCGTGTTGATGTTTGGTCTCGCAGCCAGAAGCCCCGGTCGAATGCTATGACCGGACCTCGTTTTGAACAGACCGACTTTGATCTCCAGGTGAGCGGCCATGCTTGATTTGCCTCGGCATTGTAATGCTAAATGACGGGCAGCCTCAACCTCTGTCGGCTATGGAAATGATACACAGGGAGCCTGTCCGGTGGACACATGATCGCATCGTAGCCTGTGATGGAGGCGGCGGCCCTGCCGGCCACCCTAGAATTTTCATCAACACTGACAAGCCTGAAATCGCGACCTGCAACTACTGCGGTGTTCCCTATGTATGTCACCCAGAACCGTTTCGTATATGCCAAGGGAATCTAACTGAGGAGGAATTAGGCCAATGAGCACCATCGAAAGCACCTAGAGTCCCTCCCCAAGACCTCATATCCGTTGTCATGATTGCGCCAATTCAGCGCGCCATGGAGAGATGAATGGGGCACATGGGCTTCTTGCCAATGTGCAATATAAGATATGAGTGAAAGGACTGATTGGAGAGCCGCTGTATTACTTTGCATGCAACCATGCCGAGGATGGGGACTCAATGTATATATTTCCACGAATAGATGTGTGGTTAGCTGATACCTTACCAGCGCCCCTTCAGCTAGTCGCCATGCCATGTGCTACTACGACTTAGTCACAATTCTCGCGCAACGAGGTTATACAGGGCACATTTTCCCACCTCTTGTTCTCCTCGACTAGCACAAATCATTGTAATGATGTATTATATAGAATGAGGAATTGAATTTCAGTGTGCAAGCACTTCAAACATTAGTGTATGGAAGCTACCCTACTGCCCTATTCGGATTTTAATATGGTCCTCAAAGCGATGATTATAAATATTAAACAAACTACTCCCAGTCCACTGATTCTTCCCCTTATTCCGTCATTCGTACCGCCAAACATCCAGTCAACGAGCAACCCAAATGACCGTTTGGAAAGGTCTCCCAAACTTCGCATAGACGATGTTGCCATTCGGTTTCAGAGCTATTTTGCTCGTTTATCATCAACTGTGCTCGCCCTAGCAGTGAACATGTTGCCCCAGCCTGTATCAAGCACTGCGACAAACGGTTAACATATAAAAGTCAGACTCAATGGAGGCCCTAGCTCAGTAAGCGTAATCGGCGCGGCGCATGTATGATAGTGCCCCCCTAAAGATCCAGACACCAGAGGCTTCCCATTGACATGGAGTTGCCAACCGGAGTTTAAGCTGGCCAACTGGAAGCTGGTTCCCGTCTTTATCGCGAGAGCTGGGGGGATCGGTTTAGCAACCTTAAGTACTCAAGTACCTAAAGAGAAAGTTGATGCTGGTATAGTTCACATGCAGCACGTTGGTAGTGACGGTAACATGCGTTAGCTACTTAGACCTACCGGTACGTAGAAGTTATCGCACCAAAAAATGGGCGTGGCCACATGTATTGATGTGTTAGTACCCTTTCATTGTGCGACTGAAGTTACATAGTGGTCAGCACACGATGGCGACCCACCAGCCAGTTAGGACCCGGATCACCTGGAGGGCCTATCAAGGAGTGCCCAAAGCACCCCGAGCGTTAAATTTTTGAGAGTTATCAAGATTAGTTCAAATCATCAAAATATGAAATGAAAAAAATAAAAACAGAACGTTTACCTTCTAAAAATTCTAATAAAACAAATCCACTACTTATTCAATTTTATCCGGATTCAGTCTAGTTCACGGAGTACTCCAGAAGATAAAACATTTTATTGACCCAAAGGTGACCTTGACCACACCCGCTATATGTACACTAACTGACCCCGAACAAGCCCTTATCGCGTGTGACGGCTGCAACATCGAGATGACACAGCACACATCTCAACATATATCTCTCACCACAACCATTGTGCTTATCCTAGTCCTCTTACTCGCATTCTTCCCGAACTTGTTCCACAGTATCTGGACCCTTCCTTTTACCTTGATCCCGTTCTTCCACTCCTCATCCAAGGGATATACCGGAACCGGAACAATGACGTGGTTCCAGAAGCAGTTCACTCTCCCCGCCAAGTCTCGCGGCTCATACCTCATCACCGACCAGGTCGTGTCTAATCTTCCCGAGATTCGGAACTACAAGGTTGGCTTGCTGAATTTGTTTGTCCAGCATACCAGCTGCGCGCTGAGCTTGAACGAGAACTGTACGTGAGGTTGTACCGGACCTTTCTGGGTGCGACTTTTCGCTTCAAAGCATCGCCTTGTCGCTTTGTGCAACGTCTGAAGCTGATTTTCGATACAAGGGGATGAGGACGTGAGGGCAGATATGAGCGACGCGCTTGATCGCATTGCGCCGGCCGAGGGGCCAAAGGGCGAGGCCTTGTATCGCCATGAGTAAGTCCAGGCTTTGCGGTTCTTGGCACAAGGTTACGTCTGATGCGTTTGGATTGTAGTGCCGAAGGTCCTGATGACATGCCTGTAAGGAAACAGATTTGCAGAGACCACATTTAGCAGTCCTGGAGACTAACGTGCCTTTAACAGGCTCACATCAAGTCGGCACTGATCGGAGCTAGCGTGACCATCCCGATCAAAGATGGAAAGCTTGTATGTTTAATAGTGATGCAAATATGCCCAAGCATTCTTCAATATTATGCTAACACGCCCAAAGGCTACAGGCACCTGGCAAGGTATCTGGTATCTCGAGTTTCGGGCCAGCAAGCATCAGCGTCGGATTATGGCTACCATTCAGGGAGAAAGGGCATAGAGAAGTAAATTAAATCAATGGCTGAATTAAATGCAAGAAGGAGCCACGTTGTTTTAGCACACGGTCTCCATTGTCTATGATACAACGGTTGTAGTAGTGATTTCGCCGAACGCCATCGCCTTTTACCTATTCCAACGCACCATAACCATCACCTAAATTGTACCATTTTCTTCCTTCATTTCCATGTCTTCGCCAGCCAAAACTTTTGTCTTGGGTACATAGCCCTCGGGGGGACCAGCACCAGGTGTCATGGCCACAACATTGCCATCTTCGTCAACAAACTCAAAATTGTAGCGGCTGAGAAGATGCGGAATTGCTGAGAGCTGTGGTCCATATCGAGCAGTGTTGTCGTAGAGCTCGAAAAGAGGTACTGCAAGGAGCTTCATATTCTTTGGTACGCTCAACACTTCTATCAGATCAGGCGGGTTAGTAGTCGACTTTGTGGATTCAGCAGGGCGCGTCTTGGGACATACTTGTTTTGGGCAAGTGAATGAAATAGAGTTTCTTGCATTCCTTTGGCCGTGTGACATGGGCGGGAACAAAGGGATACATGAAGGTCTCGAAGTTTGGTCGCCACCATTGCGCGAGGCAGTCACCAACTTCCCAGTCCCCAGCTTCTTCGCCTTCACCTATCCGGCCCACAGGGGCCAATCTTTCGTCTAATCTAGCCTTGAAGCCTGCTTCCTCGTCGTCTTCGGGCCGCAGATAGTCTCCAGGGAGCTTGAAAAAGGCGTTTGCGATCTGAAGCATCAAAATATGCGGGTGGTTGTGCTCGTGGCACACGAGGATGCCCTCACATGTACGACGCATGCCATGCTCAGAAAAATGCTCCTCCAGGCGCTTGAGTCTTGCAATTACAGAGGGGTCTTCTTCAGGCTGCGTCTCCTTGACACCGAAAGTATAGTTTGATAAAGGGTACAGTGTGACCTTGTCTGGCTGCTTCGAGTTGAAATCAAGCGGTATGGTGGGTGGATAGGCGGACTGCTGCGCAGAGGGCGGTATTGTTGACATTTTCGAGACAATTCGGTCGAGTCTGTAAAGAGTGCCAGTGTTTGTCTGAAATTGAGGTATTGATGTGTGCGCAACGTTATGTGATCATGGGCTTTCACAGTTGTGTGGGCAAGAGTGTAATCTGGCGGTTTGCTTGCTGAACTTCATAAATGTAAGCTTCAGGGCAGCCTCGTACCTGGCAGAAGACGTTGCTTGCGACGGCAACGACGAGGTGGTTGTAAAGGGAAGGCGGTGTGCGGGGCCTACCAATTGGCCGAGTCCCTGGCGATTCAGTTCAAACACCAACATAAAGTACCAAAGTACCAGACTTTAAGCGCTAGCATGTAGGCCGTTGTTCTTTGGAGGATCACGACCAGCAAGTAAATACTCGATACGCCGTAACATGTCTCGGATTTTAGTGTCGACTCTGCAATATCCAGGAGCTCTATAGATAAATTGCTTTTTATTCCAGCTGTCTTTGTGATACAAATCATGAACAACACTTCAAGTCGATACACAGGGGACATGCATGCAGCCACAAACAAGTCAGCAGATGTCCGGATTAAAAAGCTCGATGCAGCGCAGCCCTGCTTGGATATTTTCGAACAATGCTGTGTCCCCTTTGACCAGTCCTGATTTGAAGGCTTCGTATAAGATAGTGGCACGCGTGACTCTTCTTCGTTCATCCCATCACCCGCATTGTTCGGTTTGGGCTGTGCAGAAGTCACATGCATCGTCATGCTTCAACGGTACCAGACCCGACAACCAGTCGAACTCGACGACATTGGCAGTCAGCCTCACGTACGGCCAGTCTCGGCTGAAATAGCGGAAAGTACGGAGTATGTGTAGCTGGCTTCTCGGGGCTGTGGAATGGTGGCATGGCCAGTGCTGCTGCAGTGGCACTCGAGCATGCATCACCCGTTGTCGCGCTGCATGTACATGTAGTAGGCAGCAACAGACTTGGCAAGGGACAGTGTTGCGACCATTTCACCTGAATGGTTCCAGTAGGCGCACTGAGATGATGAGGAAATCATACTGTCGTCGTAGCAAGTAGGGCTGAGGCCGTGTTGAGCAAACCAGCTGCAGGAAAGTGGTCATGATAGCCCTAGGTACTTAAGTAGATTAGAGGCGGCCCATGTCTGGCAGAATGCTCGAGTCCCTAGGCTGCATAAAGTACTTAAGTAAGTACTTACTTAGTAGACAGTTTTGCCCAAATGGACCAGCAGTATGCTATTCTTTGAGAACCCTTGCATTTGCAATGTTGTTCGGTTGTTCTCTTGCGGAGCGAGTAGATCAAACCACATGCGCAATGAATGTACTTTACGGTTGCCACCGAAAATACGGAGTACGTCAAGTACTTAAGTAGCATGCCCAGACACGGAGCCGCTTCTGGACAAGATTGAATCTCTGCCGTGGTTGAGCCAAGGCACCAAATCTATCTGCCCAAGTACTCCGTACCTGGCCGCCTTTCCTTGTTGCCTGGCACTGGTAAGTTTGCTTCAGCACGAGACACCGTCTTTTGACAGGCTACATGTGCAGGCCGGGCTCATGCGCACCAGGTTGATCCTGCCAACCACATGTGCAGCTTCTCCAAGTGCCAGGCGATTGTCCTGACATCGAACCTACCCCGCCACCTTCCATCTCCGGAACCGCTGATCCCTCCACATCATTCACGCGAAGCCCATGAATCCAACCTCCGCGGCGTCATACTGGTACTCTCCCGTCATTTCCTGCTGGCGAATACTCTGCTGGCATCGCGCTGTTCTTTTTCATCTAGGGCAGCATTAATTACCCGGCGCCTTGTGTTGCGCAACTGCTTTCCTGTTGCCTGCTCTGTTGCCTAGCCGCAGCACAGAGAGCGCAGGCACAGTGTACTCACATTGACTATGCGAGGGACAAGTACGAACACAACTGCTGGGTTGGGCGCCGTTCATGACCTGCCCGTCCTGTCAGAACCAGACCTCTCCGTCTCAACAGCACCGGCATTTAGTGCTGGATCCGCGGATGATGCCGGATCATCAATATCGTCGGAGAAAAGCGACTCGAAACCACCCAGAAGCGCAATGCGACGATCGTCTAGTATTCCCAAACTTCCACAGAGCCCGCGTCGAGTACGGTTTGATTTCATGGGCGAAGAGGTGCTCCCAACAACATCTCCTCAGCCTAGTGCATTCATTTCTGCACGCATTTCTTCACCCGACCCTATGGGCGATGGAGCAAATTGCACTTCTCGTCTTGCCACAGAGCCTGGAGAGGAGGAGGATGAGGAGGAGGGAGAGCAAGCACCTCGTAAAGTCTCGTCATCTGACGCACTGCGGTTTCTGTCCAGGGCTCCCTTGGAGGAGGATGGAACTGTTTGGACAGTAGTCAATTCAGACCCGGACGAAGCTGTGCCGGATCAGCCGCATTCCTTGCCAGAGAGCCAGGCTGTCGACACTGCCCCAAGTATGCCAACCACTATGATGACCACACCGGACACGAATGTCTTGGGACCAACACGGACTGCCACAACACCTGAGCCCAGCCATAAACATACTTTCGTCGGCGATATCAAACGCGCGTCATCCAATTCTGAAGAAGATTCGTCAGACGACGACTTTCTTGCAATGGCTAAGCTCAAATCACCTGTGTCATCAGTCTCCCGGGCTCAAGCATTGCTATCTCCTACAAAGTCGAGCCAGGAAGGTACTTCGGTACAGCTAGGCGACCAGAGCGGAGTGTCGCCAAAGGCCAAGAAATCAGCTGCCAATAACGCCCGCGGCGAAGCTACACATGGAGTGTCGGCGACAAAAGAGGATGAGAACGAGGTGTTTCATTTTGAAGAAGAAGGCTTACAATTACCTGAGCGGCCGCGTCAAACCCGAAATCTGGCCGCGCACATTGATCCCGACGACGGGCAATCCGACGACCATGATGAAGAGTCAAGTGGCACCCCCACTCCTCAACCGCTGAGTCTGTATGCCACATCGCCGGCAGTTCCAATTACAAGGCCAGTAAATCGAGACCGAGAGCAAGATCCTACGACACCTTCAAGGATGAAGTTTGAACCCAATACTGTCGGTTCCTACAAGGGCAGGCCTTTAACGATTCCCATCCTGCGAAACCCCGAGATACTGTCCCAGCTGGAATCTGCTCAACCTGTCAATGAAGTTGTAGGTAGCGTTCATCACCGTGGCCCTGCGGATGCATTCAATCCAGCCAGTTTCCCAGAAGGCGCCGAACAAGCTATGGCCTTCAGCTCTCCAAGAAGCTTCAGTGAGCGGCTCCTGATTGAAGACATGATGGAGGCAGCAAAAGCTAGATCTCTAGGTTCCGGTGCTGGGCCGACAGACCATGGGCAGTAATCAATTGTCAGGGCGGCTCTCTTTTACCTCTACTGTTTTCAATTTAAGTTGTTCGTCTGCCCTTTAGGTCTTTTGTGGGGGAAGGGGGGCAAGGATATAATCAAGGCACACAAGGAAGAAAGCGGCATTATAGAGGCGTTGAATTCTGGGAATTACTATGAATCATGGCGGAGTTAACAGACATAATGGCAAGGGCAACCATCGACCGACGTCGTTTTCCAGGGATGGATTTGTATCAATGACTGCAGACGGCATTTTCCGTCACATCATGCATCTATGTAGTGCGAAATATCTATTATCAGTCGCACCTAACTCACGAAACAATACACTAAATGCATTTTAACCAGGAAGGCATTTTACCTATAAAACACCAGTAGTCCCATGCCGCACCATATCGTATTTGAGATGGCATGGAGTGAACCTCATGGCGGTATTGCATCGGGCAATGGGCGCTAACGTTATCGCTATCGCTGGAGGCGCCTGGTCAGCTTTGCACGGAGTAAGTGGCGGCATTACTAGTGGGCTGATTGGGCCTTAACAACCTCAGCTGTACTTACTTTATGTAGCTTTCCACCCTCTGCAATCTCCATCCTGGACATACAACTTCACCATCAATCCCCGCAACATCGGTCCAATCCTCAATATCCAACCGCACACGCGGCTAATCACAATGGGCGGTCTAAATCTAGAGGTGTTCAAGGTAAATTATTATGCGCATAGCCCCTTTCCCAAACGCCACAGGCTTTTTCAAATTCGTAACCGAAATTTCTTCCGGCACAGTTTGGCATGTATGTCATGTTTCCCATCGGCATCATGTACTACTTCGGCACGAATCTCGATGATCGCTTCTCGGTACCGAATTTCTGGCCGAGACCCGAAGAGTGCAATAAGCTTCCGCGCGACAGGGACGAAGTCAAGGCCGAGTATGAACGCATTGTTGCGCGACAGAGGTTTCGACAGGCCCAGCTTCAGGAAGAGCAGCGTCAACGGGCTTTGTTACAGGGAAACCGGAATAACGGAAGCGACTCTTGAAAAAAAAAAAAAAAAGCTGCAGGGCCGATATGAATATATTGTTTGTGTGTGAAGGGTGATGGCTTGCGATTGTACGATATAGAATGCTTGCGACACTAGAAGGATGTGTAGTACGATACGAACCATGCATGGAGAGGCGTTTGGAATCCCCCCTTGGCAAGGAAAAAATTGCCCATATTCTACTTGACATATTTAAAATTGTACATCCAGATCAAGTTTCGTCGCTACCGGGGTTGTGTTCATACATCTATGTGCCTCTCTACCCTCTCCCACTCTTCCTCGGTAATGCTACCTTGGTTGATGTTTGCAAAGATTGCTTTGACTTCGGGATACTCTCGTAGCCCAATGAAAAGCGCATCTAAGCTTTCCACAGATTGCTCGGTGTCGATTGCAGTCTTGGTATCTTCATTTGCAGCCCAGATAATGTCCGATTCGACGACCTCGAGCCCAAATCTCTTCGAGAGTGCTTCTGTGATGGCCATCAATTGCGCTGGCTCTGTCAACACCAGCAAGTCCCCGTCTGGTAATTCTTCTACGTCGTCAGCTCCGTCGTGCTCAATCGCCTCTTCTAGAAGATCAGACAGTGTTGGTCCGCCCTCCTTGTTCCTGAATATTATTCGGCCGCGCCTCGAGAAGTAGAACGAAGTTGAGCCGGTGACGCCGCCAGCTTTTTTGACAACAAATTTGAGGTCTTGCAAGGTGCGGGTCTTATTGTCGGTTTCTATATCCGCGATCAGTGCAATATTAGGCGGCATGAGTACTTCGAGTGTCATTGATTCCAGTTGCGCTCCGGCTGCTGATCGGCCTTGGCCGCGGGCGATTGCTGCTTCGACAAGGGCCTTCGGAACGCTCGCTGGGGCAATTTGTTAGAAAAATCATATTCCCTGGGGTTTATCAGCGCATGGGAATTTGGGCAGCCGCCTTACTTGCCTTTGGTGGCCGCCGCTATGGCATTTGCTAGCTGTGGGTTAAATTTGACGTCTTCCCCGTACACTTTGAACGGTCATCAGCTCCTTCAACTCGACATGGCGGGTTTTCAACGTTACTAACTTCGCGAGTACATTGCAATAAGCTTCGTGAATGCTGTTCGCTCCGCCATTTTCTTCTTATCCGTTACCGCCTTGATGTGTTTGGTCTTGGACCACTTGTTGTGGCCTGCCAGCATCGCCTGGCCGGTGGAAAATGATCGCAGACATCGTCGACAGAATTGGAGCTTTGCAAGCGGTCGGGACACAACTGCGGCAAGGGGTAGTGCTAAAGGTATATTTGCTATCGCCATGACGGTCTCCAATGAGAGCACTGCGTGGGTATTTCAAAATGTCTTGAAAGTACCGTCAAACTCGGCAGAGAATGGGAGGCTCGGAGAGTTGGAAATGCCTTGGTGCTGGGAAGTGCCTCCAAACTCGCTGTCGCGTGCATTAGCCCGACGTCACTGATTGGCTGACAACATTGAAGCTCAGGCCCAAATGCCCAGTAAGCTCAGATGTCCAGTCCACCAGACACATGCATGTCTCAACAGCTCCCCCGCCAGCTGGCCCAAGTCCACCAGACGCCTCCCCAAAGAAGCCGTACCTACCCACCCTGCCCGCTTCAACCCCTTACCCCATAGACATTGACGGGTTGTTTACAGCTTGCTGAAAATCGCGATTCACCCGGCAAGCACATAGGACGTTGCCTGTCCCTATTACTCGCTCGTCATGTCGTCTAATTCAGAGATCGAAGCTCCCACGGAGCAGCCACCAGCCCAGGTCTCCGCCGAAACGGCCGCCGCCACTGTCGAAGCCAAGATCACAACTCCCGAGCTCGACCTTCCCAAATTACAGGCCTTGCCAGCAGAACAACAGGAACTTTTTTTACTATCTTTTGTGTCAGATCTGAAAAGACATGTCCTGGGCCTGGTGGCCGACGATTGTACAGCTCAGCAGTTCTACTTGAAGAAGGAAATCTTCCAAATTATCAATCTAGCAACCCCGGCGCCGTCTCGAGTAATACGGAACAGCTTGGGCAAATGTTTAGCTCATATATTCAGCAAGGGAGATCGGAAGTTGCTTTTTGAGACCATCAACGACTTGATCTCTGTCATAACGGGGAGCAAGGGGAAGTCTGATGGCGAGACTCGCTCTAAGCAAGCCGCCGTGTCTTGCTTGGGTGATGTCTTCGCGGCCGCTGGCGACAGTGCGATTGGTTTACATCAACTAGTTTGCACTACCTTGATTAAACTGTTGAAAGCTGCCTCCAACAATGCCGGTCTGCGTGCGGCTGTTCTTCATGCTCTAGCTAAACTCATCGCAATGGTTCAGGGCAGCATGGACGAAAGCATATCACGCGACATATGGAAACAAGGACGAAATCATGCTGCTTCTGATAAGGGGTCACTGGTGGTGGTTTCAGCATGCCGCTGCCTCAAATCTCTCGTCAAACATACTGCTTATTTCCGCAATTCGGCTGACCTTGATAAGTTGGAGAGTGCAATTTTCAAATCCGTCGAATCTTCTTCCATCCAGGTTCGACATGCAGCCGCGGATTGCTTCGCCGAGGCATTAGTTCAAGGCTACTCCCCAACTGGCAATGGTGAAGTGTCCAAGAGTAAGAAGACGAAACCGAAGCTGAAGCGCGCTTCCACTCACCCTGGAATAGCGAATATTAATGAAGACGAGGACGACCTCCCGCCAAGATCAGCAAGCCCAGCTCCTGGTGGCAAACGCGTTCAGGACCTAGCCTTATCTGTGCCTGATATGCTCAAGATACTATCGACCCAGTATGTCAAGCAGAGTGCATCAAATAAGACCCGCGCCGCGATTGGTGTCTGTTACGGAAAATTGTTCCGTCGACTTGGGGAGCGGACAGTTCTCGCCAAGTATCTGCAAATTGTGGAAAGCTTATCGACTGAAATTTTGGGACACTCGACGATAACTAACAATCGATATCGCCTTTTGATTACTCGGCGGATAGTTGATACAGTTCTTTACGACGTTATTGGACGACAGATTCTCGGCGAATCTGGACAAATTTCCGCTGCCGAGGCTCTGGTTAACAACATTCTAAAAAACTATCCGCAGGCCCTCGCAGAACGTCCGGAACCTTCAAAACAAATGTTGATTATAGCTCTGCGAGCCGTGGCGTCTCTCATCACATCCCTCGGCTCGGCATCTAACCGGTTTGCTGAATCTTGTCGGGACGGGCTCTTGCAAGTTCTTCAGCATCCCAGCTACTCCGTTCAGGTATATGCTTCTTATTGCATGAAGGCTTTTGTTCTCGCCTGCCCTCAGCAACTACTTCCATGCCTTTCCGTGTGCATGAACAGCCTGGCTCGGGAACTCTCGCTTCTCAACGGTGGACGAAATTCACCAAGACGGTGTCTTGGATTTGCTCATGGACTGTCAGCTACTCTCAGCACCAGCTCTGCTCGACCTCTATACGGATCTGTCGACATAAATAGCCGTGTTCTGACTATGGCCACAAACCTACTCAAGTCGAGCAGTCAGTCAGAGTTGCGAATCTCCAGTATCCAAATCCAGGTTGCGTGGATTCTTATTGGCGGTTTGATGTCTCTCGGTCCAAATTTCGTCAAAATCCATCTATCACAGCTACTGCTTCTGTGGAAGAATGCGTTACCAAAGCCCCTTGCAAAGGACAATACGTCAGCCAGAAGTTTCCTTGAAGCTTCATTCCTAACTCATGTACGAGAATGCGCCCTCGGCTCTATCATGTCATTCTTGGAGTTTAATAGCCGCTTGTTGACAGTTGATGTATCAAAACGCATTGCCGCCATGCTTCAGAGTACGACAGCTTTCTTGAAGACCTTGCCCTCCAAAAAGACGACGGAAGACATATCGCAGAGGCTGACCCCCGCTCTTCAACTATATGATCTAGACATGATGGTTCAGCGCCGGGTACTGCAATGCTACATCAAACTGGTTAATATGAGTCCTGCTGGGGGGAGTGAGGCTCTCTTGCAATCAAATCTGCTAACTCTAGCCATTTCACTCTTTGCGGACCCGGAGAACTATATACCTAGCTCCCTTAGCGCGTCTATTGCAAACGCAGCTGGTACATTTGACTCTATATGGGATGTGGGTGACAATTCTGGCTTTGGAATCACCGGCTTAGTTTCCGGGTTCGACATTAAACAACTACCTGGTCAGCATGAGTCGTCCACTGGAACTGAAATTGAAGTCGACAGCCCAGAGGATTCCATCAACAAACTATTAAAGTCCCCCGTATGTGGAGGTCTTGAACATGACGCATCGATGCTGTATATTGGAGGTGTGGGCGATTCTTCCATTCTCCCAGATCCACCGGCTACAGAAGTTATCAATAATGCCATTCAACTGTTCGCCTTTACATTTCCCCTCACGCCGGCCAAGGTGCAAGAGAGTGTTTTGGAACAAATAAAGACGTTCGCTTCGGCTGGTTTGCTGCAAAGAGACGCCGGTCGCAAGGCTGCAATCAATGTCAACGTTTCTCTTGCTATCCTTTCGAGCCTGAAGGTAGCTGTCAAAGAAACTCGATCCCCTGCAGGCAACGTCTCGAACCTGGCTGTAGAGCGCTTGTTGCAGGATATTGTTCGAGATATTGTTCTGGATCAAGACCAGTATGTCCGCAGTCTAGGGTATGAGTCGGTGGCAAGGCTGTGTAATATCTACGGCAACGCATTTACCAACCAAGAAATCAAGTATCTTGTCGATACAATTGTTGGTAACCGAGAACCAAGTGCAAGAGCTGGATGCGCAATGGCACTTGGTGCCATCCAAACCAAGGTTGGCGGCATGGCTGCTGGGTATCATTTGAAAACTATTCTTGGTATCCTGATGTCTCTATGTAATGACCCTCACCCGGTCGTTCACTATTGGGCTCTTGAGGCTCTATCATTGGCCTCAGATGCCGCTGGGCTTAGTTTTGCGAGTTACGTTCCGAGCACATTGGGAATGCTGGCCCAACTATATGTTTCGGAAACACACCATGCCGAAATCTCCTCGGCTGTCACTATGAATCTCGAAATGGAACTTCCCAGCGTTGCAGCGGTATCAAAATGCGTTGACTCTCTCATCAATGTATTAGGCCCCGATCTGCAGGACGCGAACAAGTCAAGAGACCTCATATTCACATTGGTCAATCAATTCCAGGATGAGGATGATGCCCTTGTTGAAAAGGCTGCTTTGAGTTGCCTAGAACACCTATCTCTCTATGCCCCTGGCCAGATGCGATTCGCCGAGTATGTAAAGCTTCTACAGAAGTATCTCAAGTCTGAGAATGCGACGCTACGGGATGTCTCAGTGGATGGCCTGCACAATATAATGAAACGGGAGCCACGCGATGTGCTAAGAGAAGCTGAGGATGGATTCGAGGAGCAGCTATGGCTGGTCCTCGACAGTGTACCAAGCCATGACGGTGTCAGAAATATCATTCGGAACTGGATGCATCAATCGTGCATATTTGAAACTAATGAGTGGCTGCACCGATTTCAGACAGTGTTAAAAATGACAAGAGCGAAGAACGAAGCACGCGATGAAGCAAGACCAGTTGGCGGAGTTCCCGATCTTCAGGACGAAGAAGTTGCTGGATTTGCCGCGGCCGTTCCTGGTGCCAAGGAGAGCAGAGACAACTCTGCACCATCAGAGGCCGAACCACTGCGATGGCAAGTCAGAACATTTGCACTTGGTTGTATAACCGACATATTTGCCATTGTCGCCAAGGATGTTGCAGCAAACGGAGAATCAGCAGCACAGCTGGCGTTGCAAAATAAGATTGCTGATGTAGTCCGTATGGCTTTCTCAGCTTCCACTTCCAATGTACTGGAACTGCGAATATGGGGACTGAAGATAATCGGTGCTGTGCTCAAGATGTTCGGGAGGACACCTGACCCTGACTTCGAGGAAGCTATGCTTCTGGAGCAATACCAAGCCCAAATCAGCTCTGCTCTAACACCCGCATTCGCTGCCGACTCCTCACCAGAACTAGCCTCGGAGGCCGTGAACGTCTGTGCGAGCTTTATCGCGATTGGTATTGTCACAGATGTGGATAGAATGGGCCGAATCCTAAAAACACTCGTCACTGCCTTGGAGAACTTTTCCAGTGACCATGAGAACGCCGGAATTGGGGAATTGAAGGGACTGAGCAGCAATGCACAGGTCATGGTCAAAATATCCGTGTTTTCCGCCTGGGCAGAACTTCAGGTAGCAAGCACAGAGCAAAAGTATCTGATGGATGTTCTGAAACCTTACATCGGAACTTTAACTCCACTTTGGCTAGAATCTCTGCGGGAGTTTGCTCGACTTCGATTCGAACCCGATATCTCCATGACACTGGGGCCACCGTCTCTTTCCGGGAGCCTAGATACGATTTATGCGGCCTTGAATCGGGAAACCCTACTTCGCTTCTATCAGGAGTCGTGGCTGAAGCTTGTTGATGCAATTGCCAGTCTTATTGAACAGGACAGCGAGTTCGTTTTTGATGCACTCGATGGCAAAGAGTCCCGAGAGGCAGGACCCAACGGTGACACCAAGAGCCCTGCTATCAATTACCGAGACGAGCCTGTGGCATTTTTCTTTGTGCTCTTTGGGCTTGCCTTTGAGGCCCTGGCAATCAGACCGGGCCAGGCAGACTCGCTTGCTACGAGAGAGCAGGCACTAGACATTCTGGAGGCATTGAAGAAGATTTTGCATCCAAGCGTGTCTGGCCACGCTATTTACAGACCTGATGTCTTTGCTGAAACCATGGACTTGCTAGATCGCCTAGTTCTGACTGATGGACTAGATATTCAAAGCGTGATCGTTGATATAGCGCGAGCACTCTGTGTAACACACCCGTCGGCCCGAAGGCAGTCAGAGGATGAGGGCGATCTCTCCGAGGACATCGATCAGCTTTTTGAGTTGACACGAATTATTGTATTAGTTTTGTCTGGCTTGCTCCCTAATCTCTCTGAAGGCAACCAGCCTGTCCGACATCAAATGAACGAAGAAGCCATCATTCTCGTTCGTAACTCCTTGGATGCTCTCGTGGACGCAGCGGAGGTCTTTCCGTCAATCATCAAGACAGATCTTCATGCATGCATTATTCACATATTCGCCACTATTCTTGCTACCCCTTCCTGTCAAGAACTGATTGTTCCCCAGTCACTGGCCATCTTGAAGCGTTTCGTCGCTAGCGCGTCATCGTCAACAAGTAGCGGAGATGATGGCAACTTACCACCTCAAGCACAAATTCAGGGCTGCCTTCGCCGCTTCTTGTCGATATATGTAAATGCACAGAAACGAGAGGAGTCCACATCTTTGGCAGGCGTCAGAAACTGCCTCCTTGCTATAACAATCCTGTTTACTGGCGGAGAAAATCAGCTGCCTGCAAATCACCCACTCGTCGCACGATATCTTGACGAGCTGCTCGACTGTCTGACTGATAGAATGGTAAGTCGACTGACCCCTCAGGACACTCTATGCTTCTCGCTAACACACTACTTCAGACCGCCAAGATTGCTGCCAACTGCATCCGATCTCTGCTCCTACAATCGTCGCCCACGTCGGCAGACCTGAGCATAGCTCGCTATCTCTTCCCTAGACTGGTTACCTTTGTGACAAACGTGGAGCCAGAGGATCCAGAACGAGCCCGGTCCCTCGTATCCCACACTCTTTGCTTATATGTCGGCATAATTCCCAAGGGCCGCGTCCCCGCAGCAATGGGCTTGGTCATACCAGCCCTGATGACACGGGCAGTTGGAGAGGGAGAAGATATGTACCAAGAGACAAGCGCAAGGCTCCTAGAGCTCGTGGCCATCGACCAGGCTGGCTTCAGAGCTACCGTTGGCGCGATGAATAGCGGTCAGCGAACCTTTTTGGAAGAAGTCATTCGTTCCGGGCAACAATCAGGAAGCGAGGCGAATGCGTCATCTGCCGGTGAGGCCGGCCGGCCAAGTATCACTCTGAAGATGAACTTTGGCGGCTAGTCGCACATGCGAACTGTACCTACACGAAATGTCAAGCAAATTTTCAACATGCATCGTGCCGGACTCAATATTAATACTAGCTGACAGCGAATCGACACTACCGCTATCACAGTGAGACAGATGCAGGACAATGAGCTTCGCTGCCTGCCAAGTGGATGTGTCCCTCCCTATCGGGTGACACGGCTCTTTCAGTTTGACATTGGCCAATTTGACGTTACACTGCGGGTTGGCGCACTTGGAACGGCGGTAGATAAACCGGTCAATGAATGGGGATCTGAAGCAGCTTGATGGCGAAAGAACATGACTAGCCACACCCTAGAGTTTGACATGCTGGGTAAATTCATGCCTGTAAAGACAGCCTCATGATAGAAATGAATTAAAAGTGGAAATAGAATGATAGACACGCCGATGATAATTTCTTCGGGTATATTTTAGGCAACGTGACAATCAATCTACCAAGTTAAAGAGAATGTTTTATTTTGAAAATTTGGTAGCAATGTGATGTACGTCGTCTAATCATGAATTCGTAGAGTCCCTTGCACGTCATTACCGTCAGTTTCATAGGTTTCGTCAAGATTCCAAGCGTAGTATCATCGCACCAACATTCGCTCGTACCTCGATACCCGCTTAGCTAGTCTAACGCTTTGATACTATACAAAAATAAAGAAGGAGAAAAGAGAAAAGGAAACAGTCAAGATAGTTGTATGCCCGCCTAAAGGCAGAATCGCCTCGTCAAGCACACAAGTTAAGGTTTCCTGTTTGTTACACCAAACCAACCTGGCCACCACTCTCATGAATCGGCCAAGAAGAACTGTTGCACAGATTTTGTTTAGAGCAGTATGAACGGGAGACTCTGGATGTGGGTATCCTTGGTGTTCAGTAGTTGGTGGGAGTAGAACAGAAACTGAGTGTAGTGTTACTCTTCTTGTACCGGTTTTTTTCGGCTCGATGACCCATGGGCGATGACTGGTCCAGTGGATTTGGCTGTGTCTTCAGTGGTTTTACTGGATGAGCTGTCTCGTGTCGACGGTGAAGGTGAAGAATGAAAGATCCGGCGTTGGGGCTTTTGGTCATTAGTATCGTCTCTAGATGATTTTTCAAGCTGTCGTGTGGATCTGCCCGTTTCCTTTGACGATTCGGAACGGTGGTGTCTTGATCTTGGGTCCTTGACGGCCTTGGATCGTTCCGCATCAGTTATGCCTTCTGTCGCCAGCCTGGTTGATACAACTCGTCCCTGAAAGAGCTTCTGGTCCAGTATACGAACAGCCGCTTCGGCGGCAGTCGGGTTCGTCAGGGCAATTAACGCATGCCCACGTATCCGCCCTTTAGGCTCAACTAATGGAATATCAATTCCAGTTATCGCTGATGAATATTCCCCTACTTGGTGACGGATCCAGTTGGCCACTTCGCTCTGGCGCGCTTTATGCTGTATAGACGTAACGATGACTTTACATGGTTTTTCTGCTGTGTAACTCAACCTCTGCCGCGTGTCGCTCGACTTCGGTCCCCCCGTGGAAAGAGTATAGTTTGAGGTTCCGGGGGGCATTCGGAAGTGAATGGATGCGTGAGACTGGTGCGAACTAGCATACTGCGAGTCAGCAGAGCGATATCCTCCGTACTGTGAACTGCCGCTATAACGGCTGGCCGGCATAGGACCAGCCTCTGGGAGGGACTCGTAATAGCCAAAGCCCGGCGTATATGTCGGAATGTGATTTCTCATGGCTGATATGGTGTTGTAGGATTCCGCCATGGTGGCATAAGGGTCCAATACCAGCATACCACCGTATGCCGTGGTTGTCCCCACAGGTCCAGCAGGACAACCGATAGACAGAGGTAGTCGACCAAACTCATGATCCATGCCAAGCTGGGTGAGATCATCCGTTGTTAACCAATTGTAACATGTTAAAGTTAGGGTTTTCAGAGGCTATTGAGAGAATGCTAATCGTACCGGACTGGGCAGAGATACTGCTTCCTGCATACAACTCCGAGATGGAGGCAAAGCTACCTCAGAGTTCCGCGGTTCTCCGGTCATTGGGTCCCAGTGCCCTTGTGCGCTGTACTGAGCGACTCTGGAGTCGACGAGTTCTTTAATCTTGATAGATTCGGTCCTGTTTCTGTCTGAAGCGATGATGGCTCGGTTGCGGAAATATTCGTTCTTCACGCGAGCTAGATGTCTTGGTCAATGTTTCATTCAGCTCCGAGCCTGTGCCAACCCCGAGAGACATGCAGTAGGAAAAAGGGGGACGTTAACAGGAAAATGGAATCCGACTTACACCACGCCTTGTTAAAGTTCTCCTCTCCATGAAGCCGTATCCAACCAGACGTGCTAGACTGAAACAGCTCGACGTGGTCGACATCGCAATCAACACGTAGCCAGTCTTTGAAATCCTGCCAAGAGGTGCCAAATGGCAGCTAGAATGTCTCCAAATGCGTTAGCTCCAGAACCTCTGATACTCGAAAGACAAGAAAAACGACAACGGGGTAGATTAAAAAGAAATGAAAAGAAGCGGCCATTTACTACGAACATTGCATATTGGCATATAGTAGACTCCAGTCTTCTCTCCTGGCTCGACATCTGCCATTATCACCTTCTTCTCTGATCCTCCCTGGCGGGACATATTCCTTTGAGAGCGTGCCGGGCAAGCAACAATTATAGTACAACACAATTAAACTTATAAGTCCGGGAAGAGGGCGTATTTGAGACAAATAACAGATGTCCTGAAACATATGCTCTCGTTGGGGATATGGGAGAAGGGTTGTATGACGACAAGTGGCATTCAGTTGGAGACGCCGACGTTGTGATAAAATTTTCCTGTCACGCAACCGGGGGGGGTGTGTGAAGCTGCGCAGAAACAGTTTGTGACGACGAAGAAATTCCGCAGTGGTAATAAGAGGGAGATGCTGGTGTGTACAAGGCCGGGAAAAGCAAATACTGAGGGCAAGGATGGCAGCACACATGTCCAAGCCACCAGGCCAACAATGACATCGCGATTTTATACGACTTGACCACTCCTGCGCAACTAGCCAGGGGCAAGGGCAACGAGCTGGGGGGAAACAGAGTAAGGAACGAGAATCGGCCATGCCAGATTCCATTACAACCATAACATATCATGCTACTCCGTAAACAGGCCTTGAGCAGCTACCGCCACCAAATCGGTACACTACTCGGGCCTGCACTCAACGTGGAGGCGGCAGGACAACAGCTCCTCACATGCACTCGCCACTGCTCCAAGACCCGGGTAGCTGGTTCTCCGGACTCGCAATTCGTCATCAATGGTCGTTCGATCAATATCAACAGGCTGTTGGACAACTGGAACTGGCTGGCAAGTGGCCGACCGAGGAATTGCCTTGACCGTTGCCACTAACTTTGCCCAGGAAATAAGCTGTGCGTGGTCATGGCCTTTGGCCAGAGTCATCCTCGACGCCCGCTCCGGTCTTTAGGCTTCCAACATATCCCGTTCTTGCCGCTTGCTTCCAGAATTTGTTGCCATCTCGAGCCGCTTAAGACATGCCAGGCTTATTTTTTGTCAATCCTTGACCCAGATTCTTGCCCTGAGAGATGCGCCGGCCATCCGAAGATCCCTTCTCTCGCCTTTACGGCTCTTTCGCTTACCCCCATTCGCCCCCATGTCTCTCTCTACCGTGACACTGGGGCCGGAACCACGAGCGGGAATGACCCGCCGAAAGGCGTTGTGGCAAATGACTGAGGTAAGACGGGTGCAGGCCGACGGGACGCAATATCCTCCAGCCCTCTGACCTTTTCCGTCAATTCGCATGGCATCCTAGTAGAGCACAAAACAAAAAAAAAAAATCCTGATCTGGCATCTTGTCAACTACTGATCCTGCCACGTCTTTGTCCGTTGGCATAATAAGCGCGAGGGAAGGGGAAACACATGAAGCTTCGTTGCAAAGTCGCACCTTGCGCTGTTTGTGCAAACTGGAACGCCACGCTGCAACTAGCCAGATGCAGCAGCCAGGGGCTGTCGTCCACCGCCATGTACATACATACATGTGGCTCCTGGCAAACCGCAAGTTGGGCTGGGGCTTTTACAGCTCTTCTACTCCGTAGTTTGCTCGACTTGAACACGGGGGTTGAAAGGTTGAAAGGCCTGGTGGCCTGGTAACCTCGCAGTTCCAAAGTTTGGATTGGCTCATTTGATTGGCCACCGCTCAGATTCAAGTGTATCTGAACGAAAAGGTATCGTCTAGATTCGAGGCGTCATCCGCTATGACAATTGGCCTCGCGGAGCCCAGACTTTCGGCCTCGTCCCGTCCCGATGATGGCCCATCCAACTCGACCCCGCCTACTGCAGCCTCCCATGGGCTCGGTTCTTGGTCCGCATCCGCGAGGGACAACAAGACGTAGTGTTGTGAGTTGGTTATCAATAGTTCCGGAGACTCGGTTTCATTATTCAGCCAGGTGGCCTGCATCTTTGACGCGGGTTTGGACGCGGGCAGATATTTCTCGGCATAGAGTGGTGTTGGACCGTGTGATAATGGATCCCACACATACGACATACATTGCTCTCTATCGTCCTGGGAGCATATCAGGAGTGTTTCCCTAATCGATGGGTGCCAAGTAAAAATGACTGGTAAATGGAAGATCAAAGCTGCACGAAGCTCGGCAGCGGCCAGATCCCAGATCCATATCGTGCAGGGACAATCGTCGAGCCGCGTGGCAAGAAGAGTGGAGGATGCGTCAAACGAAATGGAAGAACATCCCCCACGCACATCTGTGGATTGCTTGGTACTGTTACTGTTACTGCCGTTGGCGAAAGTCGGCGGGGAAACAGTGTGTGTTGATCTGGAAAAGGAGTGTATGTTCCGTCCGTCAACCCCAACACTGACCTGCTCTTGCCACACCTACATGCAAAACCCGCGTCAGGACTGCATAATATCGCAAAATGGCGGCCCGGAAGGGGAAACAAGACAGACATACCTGAAGTGTCTCTCGCGGGGCGATAGCGGTGGGATGCATCAATCTCATCACTGATCGCCATATGCCGACCTGCAGGACGGTAATTCCTCTGCTATGGTCCCCCGTCGCACAAAGCTCTGCATTGGAGCTGAGCTGGCAGCTCTTGATCCCTGGTTGCATGTCCGACTCGGGCTCGGTAGTAGGATCCGGTCTAAGACTGGATGCATCAAGGGTTCGGAAATGCTGCCCGTCTCCGGTGTAGACCAGGAGCTGGCTGCCCTGCGCCGGAGACTCCCACAACACGATCCATTGTCCATCAGGAGTCCACTGGACGGCTTGAGCATCGAGAGTATCCGGATACCACGATCTCGTAACCCGCCGTGTTAGCGGGTGGTGTATGCTGACCATGTCCTTGCCACCCACCCTCGTCAGCATAAGGAGATGTCCGGTGTCGGGTCGAAGAGAGAAACCCCGCGAAGCTGACGTTGGGTGATGAAACTTGGGGTTGCTAATCTCAACAACTTTGGAGGCGGCAACGTCAAAAACGGCAAACTTGATGCCGAATGGAGCACACGCCAACACTTCAGTATCGTGACTCCCAAATTGGATCATAGGCAGCTTGCCGCCAGCCGGAGCCGCAGGGCCATGGATGGTGGCCTGGAACGAGCCGTCGCATGCTGCAAATACTTGAATGTAGTCACCTGCGGAGACGAGTATTTTGGATGACGACGGCGCCCATGTGAGGTTGCTGATCGGACGGGGCAGCTCTGGAGAGAGTTTCACAGCATGGATGGTCTGCAAGGTCTCCGTTGACCGAACAATGATTGTGGATGAGCTCAGGACCGCTACCAGACGTCCATTTGGACTGGGCTTGCAGAGCGGGGACGCTTGATACAACGGGTCAGTTACCATGCTGGGCGTACGTACGTATGTATGTATTGCAGAGTTTTCTTACATTTGAAGGGGCGCGTGTGGTGCATTGGGGGCAGCGGAGAGACCTGCATGCTTGTTTGCTACTACTGGCAACCTTTGCGGCAGCTGGCTCCCACGGCTCGGGAAATAAGGAGAATGTTGACAAAAAGAGAGAGGTGTAGGTATCCGTCTAGCCTAAATATATTGTCCAGCCGTGTTCCTGGGCGTGCTGAGAGGCCGGCGAGGTGGCTTACATGCAACCCTGTCGACAACGGTGTAGGCGGTGCGGGAAGATGCAAGAGGCCGGCCAAACAACGGGCGTCTTTGCAGAATCAGCCGGGGCAGACGTGGCTACCCCTGATTCGTATCAGACGCAATAAGTTACGGGGAGGAAGCAAAAGAAACTTCTTCAACCATGCTACTTCTTAGGTCGAGGCTTGGGACATCTTGTCCGGCATCGAAAACTCGGTGACCAGGTGACGACCCGTGATGAGTTGAAACCCACTTTCCACGAGATGTTTGTGTGCGAGTTGGTGTTTACTACTTGCTTTCCCCTTCGGGATTAGCGGCGCTATTCCAGCAAGCAACCACTTCAACATTACAATAGTATACGCACCAAGTACGGAGTAAAAGTTTACTACTACTACCTTGCTTCCGCACACACAACTCCTTTCCGCACATGTGCAAGCTTCTCTCGACGGGCGGGACCCTCTTTTAAGCAACAAACTTAGTCCGTTGAGGGGAAGAGGCTGCCACGGGGTCCAATTGCACATCACCTAAATGCGTCAATCAGGCGTCATCCAGCTGACTCATCTGCCATGTCAGTGGTGGACGCCGTTTCTGACGGCAACACCACCTCTTTCAACCTCGTCCCTTCCAATCCGTCCATCAGTCACACTGCAATTTGTCTCCGGGTCTTGTGCAAGTTGATTCATTCACAGCTCCCTACTCCCAGCTCGTCGATTTGTCCTCCAGCATGGAAGGTGGTGCAGCCAGTTGAGAGCACATATCTCGGACCTTTGGAAGGCGGTCGCGGCGGCAACTCGGGCGGCATCACCGGGATTCGGACCAACAACTCCTCGGACTAGAGTGGCGTTCTGTGTTTCAAAGTGCAGACCACGAGCAGGATGCTCTTCACTGCGCTCCCACGTGTTGGTCGTTCTGGCAGAGTATCGATGGTATGGCGGTATCCTTGCTCGCTCAGGCGACAGATTGTAAGCTCTGCCTCGGCGCATGAGGATATTTCCCAGGTATCGGGCTCCCTAGACGCGGCCGTATCCCTCTCGCGTCGAGACCGGATACGTAATGCGAAGCCGTTCTCGGACTTTTTGACGGACACCTTTCACCGCCAACATGATTATTTGAGAATATCGGTTACAGAGCGGTGCAATCTACGGTGTGTGTATTGCATGCCCGAGGAAGGCGTTCCCCTCTCTCCTAACCGGGAGCTTCTTACGACGCCCGAGATTGTTATGCTTTCATCCATATTTGTCTCTCAGGGGGTGAACAAGATTCGTCTCACTGGTGGCGAGCCTACGGTTCGACGTGATATACTGTCTCTGATGCGTCAAATCGGCGCACTACGGCCTCGTGGCTTGAAGCAGCTATGCATAACAACCAATGGCATATCGCTGCATAGAAAGCTAGACAGCATGGTGGAGGCGGGCCTTACTGGTGTCAACTTGAGCCTTGATACTCTCGACCCATGGCAGTTCCAGATCATGACCCGAAGGAAAGGCTTCGACGCAGTACAAAAGAGCATCGAGAGAATCCTGGAGATGAACAAGGTGGGCGCCGGAATTAAGCTGAAAATCAACTGTGTGGTAATGCGCGGGGTTAATGATCGCGAGGTGCTCCCATTCGTTGAGCTGACTCGGGAAAAGGATCTCGAGGTACGGTTCATTGAGTATATGCCATTCGACGGGAATAAATGGAACAAGGGCAAGATGTTTAGCTATGACGAGATGCTGGATCTCATAAGAGGACAGTTTCCTGGTCTAGCAAAGGTCAAGGATGATAAAAACGACACCAGCAAGACTTGGCATATCCCGGGGTTTGTTGGGAGAATTGGGTTCATCACAAGCATGACACACAACTTCTGTGGCACCTGCAACCGGTTGCGTATCACGGGCGATGGCAACTTGAAAGTGTGTCTCTTTGGCAATGCCGAAGTATCATTGCGAGACATATTGCGCAAGTCAAACCGTGGAGAGCCCATTGATGAAGAGGCATATGAAGCAATGAAGCAAATCGAAATGGACCGGAAGCAAGGTCGAGTGCCCCCAGACCAGCCTCTAGGTGTGGCGCCCAACGAAGCTGAGTTACTGGATGTCATTGGCATAGCAGTCAAAGGGAAGAAGGCCAAGCATGCTGGTCTTGGGACCCTTGAGCACATGAAGAATCGACCGATGATATTGATAGGTGGGTGAATGGATTCCTTCCCCGTGCATGCGTCACAATCACGTATACTTCCAAGCTGTCTTGGCTGGCCGGTGGGCGTTGAATCGCTTCATGTTTTGTTTCATCTACCGTCCTCTGTCAATACGAGCACATCGATATGGACATGTGCAATCAGATACGACTCGGCAGTTTACTTGTTCAGTTTCCACATGCATACACGGCGTGGCGTTTGGGGGCACATTGCTGAGTGGTACATCTGTAGATCCTATTCCAGCATCACTCCGAGACCAGATGCCACACAAAATTCGCCGTCTAATCAGCGGCACTGGGATCCTTGGTCGGGCGCCATGCAGCATACACAACCCTAGCTCGGCTGGTTTTAGGATGCTATCTTCAAGTTTACGGCGCTGCAAGGAAGATGTTGGCGAGGGTAAAGAGAAGAGGAGAGTCCAGCTGACGCACGTTTCGGACACTGGCTCAGCTCACATGGTCTCAATATCAGAAAAGCCGGTGACGTCTCGAATAGCCACGGCAGCATGTACAGTCCGTTTCTCTAACAAGACGGCGGTATCACTTATTGGAGAAAACCAGATGAAAAAGGGCGATGTGCTCGGCGTGGCACGTATTGCCGGCATCATGGCAGCCAAGCGAACGGCAGACTTGATACCGCTATGCCATCCGATCCCAATATCCCACGTCACAATTGATCTGGGACCCGGGGAAGAGGGGGACACAGTCGAGATTCGAGCAACAGTGGCATGCGATGGGAAAACCGGGGTCGAGATGGAGGCAATGACGGCGGCTTCCACGGCGGCTCTCACAGTGTACGATATGTGCAAGGCGGTAGACAAGGGCATGGTGATTGACGGCGTGCGGGTCGTGTTGAAGGATGGCGGTAAGAGTGGAAGATGGGAAATGGATTAAGATGGAATCGATTGAGAAGCGGGGAAATTGCATTACATGTACAATGTGAGGTACATGCATACATACGTATAAAATGACAGGACGAAGAACTAGAACTGAAGCCATGTCGGCAATCTCACCCTGTGAGCCCGCCCACAGATGGTTAGCTCAAACCTTGCTCGCCATAATAGGGATGCAGAAGCTAGCTTGCTATTAATATCATGGGCCACAACCCAAGTCATGGTGCATCGATAACCAGTGATTCGGTCCCCAGATAAACTGTGGCATGCATACCATGTATGTATCCATGTGTCCATGTGTATTGAAAAATATGATGTACATATGTGCATAATACATTGTACAGAAGCGGCCCATAAAGTACCTAGGTAGGTATGGCACGAGTGTTTTACGAAGCGTCATGTGAGGGTTGCAGTGATGCGCAGTTGCAGGGCAGGGCAATGGTGCGTTACCGCCTCCACGACGATGATGTATTTGTTTATTCCGTGGAATATTTCGAGCCTTATCAGCAAGCCTTGCTGTCTTGAGGGTTTGAAACCCACGTCCGGGTTCTGGGTTCAAGATGAACAAACAGGTGGCGGTCAAGGCAGACCACCCGAGAAACATTGACACCGACATGTTATCGTCATCGAAGTCCGCAGTGGTGTTGGTTTGACGCCCGCAAAAAGGAAAAAAAAAAGAGTATTATACTGGGTTTAATGTTAGAGGACGTGAGTTTTTTTTGGTAACGCCTGTCTTGATGCGCGCCATCCACCCCCGTTTCAAAGCCGAGACTGTCATCATGGCGATCAAGACATTGTCCACTATGGCGGCAGTTTGCGTAGCACCAGCAGCAAACGGAACCCCCGAGTCAGGGGGACCTGTTGAGCCTCAAACAGCCGTGCAAGGGCATCAGGGGATCAGGGGATGTCGTCGGGTTGAACGGTCCAGTCTGGTATCGGCTTCCGTGGCCACGGGCTGTCGGGGCGGTCAGTCCTGAGGTCGATGACGGCGATGCCAGACGGACGGCTTGATGGCTTGGGAGCAATCCGCCGTGCCAGAGGAACAAATGAGGATCTCGGCGGGCCACGCACAGAGAGCCCACTTGGGCCCTCGCCACGCCCAAAAATTGGTCGTGTCTCAGAAGGGACCGTCAAATGAATTGATTAAATGCTGGATGTAGGCAAGTTGGCCGCCACCCGTCAAGACTGGCAAACTGTCGTTCACCTAACCGATGGCAGGGGTTCCCTGCTGCAAGTAACATTTGGACCATGTCGCTCCATGGCAGCGCTAGCCGGGGACCACCCAGCCAATCACGCACAGACGATAAGACGGGCGACACTGGGCCAATCCTGATCGGGGTAGGCGATGACGGGGCGGGAGAAAGAGGAGCTGCGCGTGTGGGGGGCAGAGACGACATGAATCAGTCCCAGTTCGCAGATCCAAATGACCGACTACCTTAAAAAAAAGTACATACAGTACGTCGACTTGGTAAAATACTATGTTTGGGTGTGTATCGAGGTCCAGATTGCGACGGTGCATGTACGAAAGGAAGGATAAAGAGAGGATGACTTTTGCAGGGCACGATGCAGGATGCAGAGCGATCAAGAGATGGGATCTCGATAATTTCCCGCTCAGCCCTGAAGCAACATACATGGAGTACTCCGTACATGCGTATGTACATACATACATACAAAACGACCACGGCAGCAGAGATGCAGGCGCAGAGCCATGCCATGCTATGCCATGCCATGCCATGCACAACAATTTCAGAGACGGGGGCTCCTCGTTGTGACTTGCTTGGGCTGGAGGTGGTCAGCGAACCCTGACCTCGTCACCAACGAACGTCTCCACTCATCCGGAAGCCAATTCACCTTTTTTCTTTTTCTTCTTTTTTTTCAGCTTATTGCATTGTACTAATACTACACCGTAGCCTGCGGTGATTCATTGGTGAAGAGAAGAGAGAGGATGGACGGCAGGCAAGCTGCTCTCTACAAAGTTATTTCATCAAGGTTGGCTTGAGAACAGCAGCCCCTTTCATCCTGTGCCGAGTCTCAGTCATGATGCACAGTCGGCAAGTACATAAATAAATGTATAGGCACACCGCCTCGCGGATGCTGTCTGTGTGGGACATGGACGAATGCATAGGGCAGCATTCTGCCGCATCGTCACGGTTGACAGGGCCGCCATGTGAACCGAGTGTTGTCAGGACCAACACAGAACGATGCGCACATGATGGCGGTGATTGTCTTTCTGACAAGAGGGAAAAAAGCAATCCATGCATGCATGCATCCATCTCCCCCCTTTTGCCCACCACCAAGCCACCCATCTTGCCATCCAACCACCCACCGCAGAGCTGCCTCAACACCATCAAACCAGATTGAGTGGGTGAGCCGCGGGCTGTCAAGAGCCGCGGGTACGGAGTCGTCCGTACTCGCGATGCCAATGCCAGGTGGCTTGCGACGACCGATCTCACAAAGGCCGCACCGCCGCCGCCTTTCAATGTTTGACTCGGGGCAGTTCTCCCACGACTAGTACTAGTACTACTAGTATTCCCATATTTTGGCTGCGTTGCAGTTCAGTGTTTCGTTTCCCCCGCCCTTGCTTGCAGACCAGCAAAGCATGGCAATCCATCATCGTCTCTCTGCGTCCTGAGACCCCAGACCGTCCAACTCTGTCCAACATGAACAAGAGGCCAGCCAACATTGAACCCACATCGCGGACCCTCCCCTACGCCAGGGGTCCTGCCCAGTACCCACCTGCCCACCTGCCCACCTGCCCACATGTGCACCTTCCCTCTCCAGCGATAAGTCTCGAATTGACGCTGCTGACAAGACTGCGAAACCCACAGGCCGCTGGGTGTTCTGGTTCCCCAGAGACTTGACTCGTACGGAGTACATTGCACAGCGCCCAGCATGGCCCTTTGCTGTCTGACTGTGTTGCAACTTGCAATAGTGTGGTAGATAATTTTAATGGCAAATGTAGTTGGGTTACTGCATACTCCGCACGTATGGACAATACATACGTCAAAGTAATACATGGCGCCAACCCTAGCTGTCTTGAGTTGCACCGCTCCATGTCCGCCAATTGCCGCGCTGCGATAGTCAGCTAGGCAACTTGGTTTCCCGTCGCTCCTCCCAGATGTCGCCCCTTCACACCACTACGCCCCTTCGCCCGCCTTTCTCGGTTCGGCGCATCCGGCATTTCTGCTTCTCAAAAGGCAAGCCGCCCTCCCGCAACCGAGTGCCTGCTTTCCCCTTTGCGAATGCCCTCAACTTCGTGACGTGTGAGCTCCTCTTGTCACCAACAAGCAGCACAAACACTCAACTTGACTCTGTTGCCGCCACGCGCTTTCTGCAACAAGAACTGGCCACTAAAGATAGCCAGTCCCCCCCCCGACGAGCCGCTCCGGACGACGGACCCGACACAACGTTGCGCTTCTGGTCTTGACGCACATATATTGTCGCCACGAGCACTGCTACCTCGTCTCGTGCCCCCCTTGTCCCCCTCCCTCTCGTGTCCCCGCGGCAGCATAATCCAGCTCTTAAAACGGCCAACCACCCTTGGATCTCGTCGCTGTTCCAGTATCGGCTGCCCCCGCCATCATGGCAGCGCAACTCATCATGCCCACGCTGCCTGGAGATCAGCCGCAGTCGCGGCACTTCCTCCCCAACCAGCACCACCGGCCTCAGCACGCGCGCTCCCACTCTTATCAAGTTCCCCAGGGACCTCAAATCTCTCCCCTCGACACCTCCGCCATGCCTCAGCACCAGCCCTACTCTACGCCGCCTTCTCCCAAGGGCGGGAGCCAGCACTTCCGTCAAGGTGGTCAACCCATGTACATGCCCGCCGTCCTACGACCCTGCCACGAGTTTACGTCCCGCAAGGTGACGAGATGCAAGACGGCCGGCTCTACCTCCTCAACCGACTCGGACTCGACGCTGCGTCGCTCCAATACCGCCATCATGAGTATTCCGGGCTTGTCTCTCCTTGGCCAGCGATTGTCGCGGCGCTCGACTGATGAGCCCAGCAAGACGCTGGATGGAGAGTGGAAACTCGATGCGTTCCCCGAGGTGACGGGACTGCCCTCGCGCATGCATTGGAAGGTGAGTCGACGTGAATCCTCGCTCCACGCTCAATAGTTTCTTACCAACATTTACCACGCAGCCCGATACTGAATCCACCGTCTGCGACGACCCGACCTGCAAGCGCACCTTCAACTACTTTGTCCGCCGCCACCACTGCCGCAAATGCGGCAACATCTTCTGCGACTGGCACTCCAGCGCTGTCCTGCCCCTGGACCAAAACGGCAGCTTCAACCCTCGCGCCGGTCCCTCGCGAACCTGCAATCACTGCTTCCAAGAGGTCAAGGCTCTCGTCCACACCAGAAACAACAGCCAGTCTTCCAGCTCCACAGCCTCAGATGCCATGCCTCCGACGCCCATCAACGCCCCGACAGCACCGGGTGTAACGCCCCCCCACAAGGCCGAAGTGGCAGCCAGCGTTCCTCGCGACTGGAACTGGAGTACTTTTTGAATTAAAATAGAGAAGGGGAAAAAGATATTCTTCAGAATGGAACTGGAGCGACTACGGTCACTCACTTGCAGTGGGCGTCCTCTGTCTACTTTCACCTCGCAATATTTCCAACATGGAAATTGTCACCAGGACAATCTCGGTCTTCCCTGATCATTGGAGTACAGGGTATCTCCAGGACGCCGAGTTTTTGATTTACGGCATTTGATTACAGCGCGGAGTTGGGAATGGATTCGCATCGCTTGGTATACTTTGAACCCAAGTGTTTCAATGCTCTCATAGATATTTTCTGGTTGCTCAAGTGTTTTGGTCATGTACGGACCATGCGCCGGTGCATCATCTGTTTGGTCTTTTTTTTTCTGTCGGTGGTGGGAATACCCTGGATGCTGAGTACATCCTGAATCTGGGAATGGCATAGTTTTTTACTATTTATCAAATCGTTCATCATTTCACATGATGATTTCTTCACAATAAATCGAACCGAGTGACGTTTGCATTCTCATTCTTAGGAACTAGGCCATTTGACCTGCACAATGTCGAGCGAGATTCAAGTCACCGTCTGACTGCCATCCCAACGTGGTCCCACGAGCAACATGTTAGCCCGGATGATAACTAGATGGCTGCACGTTTCGGCAGCAAAACGTACATCAATCCCCGGGGCCAAAGTCATGCAGTCAATGATCCGGCCCGTACGTAGTCTTGAATATTTCGTATTCATCTTATCCATCAACACATCCATAACTCAGTCTTCTAGTCTAACATGATGGGCATGTCAAAAGCACATAAAAAAACCCCACGCAACATAAAATCAAAGAAACACCGTCATAACGGTCAACGAAATCCATTTTTGCTAACAGCCCAGTACCCTGCTAAAATGACAAAATGCTATCCTCCATCCATCCATCCATCATCATTACGTAATTGCTCGAAATGATTTGAATCCCTCACCCCCCTCCCTATATGTACATAGATATAGCTCAACTGGAATCTTCTTCTTGTTCCCTTTCCTGCAAACATGCGCTGGCAATTCCTTAAGAGAATGTCTAGGGTATACGAAATTGAAACAATAGACCTTTATTCCCGCCACTTGTAGGAATGGGTGTGGATGCGGTCTGGTGCAAAGTGGCGGAACGGCAAAGGATAAAATTAACTGGTTTGACTTGCAGGGCCGTGGTATCGCCTCGATCCTTCAGTCTTTTATTTTAGAGACAACGATGGCCTCTCCGTCAACGCCGTTTACGCCTTTCTTCTAGCACGGCCGTTGGTCTTGGTCGATGCTGGCTCGTCCGCCTCCTCGATAGCCTCAATGTGACCATTGGCATGGCCGTTAACCATGTTTTCACCTCCGTAAACTTCCCTCTCGAGGCCACGGGCAGCATCCCAGCCGGCCTTCTCGGCCAGGGTCACGTTGCTGAGGCGGCGGTTGGTCTTGCCAGGAATCTTGTTGTTTGCAGTGCTGCGCTTGACGTAGCTAGCAATGAAGAAGCTCACAAAGAGGTAGGTCAAAGGGGCGAGGTACAAAACATTCAGCCAGATGGCAAAGGTCTCGTTGGCGGTAGAAATACAGGGCTGCGCCACATAAGAAGTCTCGGTTATGAGAGCAGATTCCTTGGCGACACCGGAGGCAACAGAGTCCAATGCAGCAGAGCCAAATATGAACTTCTTGAGGGAGTCGAAGCCCCCGGTGGCAGTGGGCATGGCGGCATCAGCGGGTGCGGCTGGCAGGTCAATAGCCTCGGTAGCGATCTTGGTGACGGTAATGGGAGCGACGTAAGTGACGAAAGAATGCAGGATGGCATACGACGCACCAACGACGAACTGGGTGATTTGCATAGTGGTTAGAGTTCGCTTGACAACCATGGGAACCCTGATTGAGAAAGCTGATAGGGTGTAGTACGTGTACATCAGAGCATGGATGAACGAGTTGACCAGAACAAATACCCAGATGGGAGCAGACATGTAACGCATACCAGCCCACATGCAAAGCATGGCACCGGCGTGATGGTAGGTCTGCAGGGTAGAGCTGAATTTGCCCTTGGCGAGGATAATGAAGGTGTCCAAAACTTCGTAAAACTTGCTCAGGTAGAAAATCCAGCCATAGTAGTTGAGTCCTTCGTTCCAAATACGTCCCATCTGAGTGCTGCTGGGCTGGCCACCGTCCAAGCTGCCGATGAGAGTATTGGGGTCCGCGCTGTCCCAGTGAGACGAGGTGTCGTTGAAATACAAGGAGCTTCCCAAGCCACGAGGACCATGAAGGCGGCAGAGGCTGTCAGCAGTGGCAGCAACACCGCCAGGCCCGAATGGGCTCACGATGCTGCGTCGCATGCCACTCAACATGCCCCAAAAGGTCCATGCCGAGTAGACAGCGAGCAGCACATTGTGAAAGACAACAAAGGCGAAGAAGGGCTTGGTTTTGCTCATAGCCCAAGGCTTCTTGTTGCGGGAGGCATTGAACTTGTTCAGAGCCTTGGCGGTCACTGCGTACAGCGCAGCAATGGTCAATGGCACCTTGGGGTCAAGAGCTGCCTGGTAGATGTTGTCGGGGATGTTGAAGGGTCGCATGATAGAGACGGCCACAGACGCAGGTGAGAGAGGTGTGGGTTCATTAGTAGGGGGGAAGTTGAAGAGGCTGGCATCAGGCATTGCCGCCATCAAATGTGCTTGCGCCGCGGACATGTTGAACTGTATCCGTTGTGTGCAATGGTCGTCTCTTGTCTGTTGAAAAGGGTGATGGATATCGTTACAGTTGATTAGGGGGAGGGACAATGTTCGCGTGCTCGTTGCTCGCTCGATGTCGACGGCATGCGTAAACGAAGGAAAAGTCGCCCCTCAGCTCAAAACAGAAGCCAACAAGAATAAGGTCTCTCGATGAGGGAGAAATCGAGAACGGGCAGTCTAGGTCAAGGAAAAAAGAGAGACGAGTGAAGAGGAGGACTTTTTTTTTCCATTTTTAAGGGCAGTCGAATAAGTTGGGATGCAAGTCGTCGCGGCCATGGCCACCCTGGTGCTGCATGGGTGGAGCGGCAAGACTAGGGGGTGTGCATCTATCCGCTCCCACACCCGAGCCTGCCCGTCGGCCTCGTGTGGTTTTGGGGCGAGGAAGGAGCAGCGAAGCCGTTGAAGTGGACGCAGGCAACCCAGCGGGTGTGTCTCTACAAGACTCCGATCTTGCAGCACTCATGACTGAACGCCAAAATGGCTGTTGTTGGGATGCGCAAAGCCCCACGGCACCCCAGCTCCTCCGGTCCTGTCTTCCTCGGCAACTAGTAGAAGCAAAGCGTGGGAGAGATCAAGCACATGCAGAGGATGCTTGATAACGACATGAGCGACATGTCCCGAAGCTCAAGTGCTGCCTTTCGGATCCATCTGGTTGGTAGACTGTTGGAACAGACTTGGCAGACCATAGATGCCCGCCATTGCTGGTATCAGACTTCTATCTGCCCCTATCTTTGCTTCAGTTGTCCAAAGTAGCAGGCATGGCGGGGAAAAGGTATCGCATATGCTCCGTACAGCCGAGAGTGCTCAACCTGACGGCATGATGGCTGACGTTGAGGTCAGGAATTCAACGCGAGGTACTCCGTACGGAGTACGGAATACGGAATACCCTGCTCATGTCACAGAATAGCTCTGTGCCTTGCTCGAGCAAGCGCACATGTCTTGAACAGACATGCTGCGAGCTCAGACTTGGCGATCCAGCCGGCTATGCGGTCTGTAATCTTGTAAATCTTTGGCCATGGCTATCAAACAGCATCAGGTTTCTTTACACTCGGCAGCATTAGCCTTTGACCAGGGGCATGTAAGTTGGCCACAATGCATGCGACCCAGATATGCGCTTGGAGTGCTCCGTACCCAGACATGAACCCAGACGCATGGCCCCTCATCGCACCTACAGATAGATACATCACGGGAGATATAACACGCATACACGCTCCTATGGGAAAACTATCGCGCTACAGGTTCCACTCTATATATCGTCCCCGCTATGCCGGGCGGCGGGGCCAAGGCGTCAAAGCTGGTGCTGGATGTCTTTTTTTTTTGTTGGGGACGAAGATGGCCAAGCTCTGGAACACCAATTCACCTGGAACACACGACCACCCAGCTCAAGAAACCATGATTGACTCTTGCCAGGCGAGAACTTGCACGTGATTACAACCGGTACATTTTCCTCCAGTGTACCGTCGGGCTATGGATTATATGCCACAGTTGTATGTATTGTGCGCATATATACGTCAAAGTACGGAATACATGTCAAAGTACGGACGGAATACATGTCAAAGTACGGACGGAATACATGAGCACTTACAGCCTTATGCATCACTACAGAGGTTCTTTCCCCGCCAAAGCAAGTATTCCCTCCATAGGTCGGCCAACATTCTTCTCTACAATATCAAGCCATCAACGGCTGCTCTCTCTTACACAATTGACCCAAAATAATACGAATTCGCCCATATATATACCTAGGTGAATACATATAAAGCGTCATCAAGTCAAAATATGATACAACAACCAATACATACGTACATACCTTACGCATATACATAAAATAAAAAAGGTGTCCCGACTATCCCGCCCCACCCTCATAAGGTTGAGGCACGCAAAATCTCCTACCGGGTAGGAAAAGGAAGCACCCGTCCGGTCCAATTGCGTCCATCTACGCCGCCGTGCGGTGTGAGTGGGACAGAGACCCCTCCTCAGAAAAACACCAGACCCTTCGCCCTCAACAATTTCGGCCTCAAGCCCCGGTTCCAAAAGGCGGGAATCCAACAGCCCAGGCACCCACCCCCCGGGTAGTCTTGCCTGCTTTCCGCCACTGTCCTTCTAGAAGCCATCTTTGATTTGGGGGAACGGAGCTTCCCCAATCGCACTGAATACGCCTTTGGGCAGCAATACTAATAGTACATACCTAGGTAGTTGTCCATGCTGCGTCAAGTGTCTGTGTTGTTGGACCTGTCTAGTTCTGCCTGGTACGCGCTTGGCACTCATTATTACGGACGTTTGGTTGCCCATCTGCCACCAATTGTGCGCGGCTGCGAGTTCTTATTCGCCATTCACCGGATCAGACAGACGCGACTTCTTCATGCAATTGATTAATCTTACTTGTATTCGAGCTAGGGTTCAGTTACTATTTGAGTCCAGAAGTACGCTGTAATCTGGCACAGCCAAATACACACAACTTCTATAAGTACCGTCTTCTATGCATGTATGCCCGTACGCCAAGTTCATCACCGGGCCATTCTGTTCCTGCAGATATGTAGTCCACTTAGGCGTCCAAGCGACCGGCCACCCAGCGGTTGAGGAAGTCAAGCGATGCCTCGGGCTGGTCAAAGGGTGTCATATGGCCGGCCTTGTAAATCTGAAGGAATGACAAGTTGCCGTGCGACTTGAGCTTGCCGTACTCCTGGGCCCCATTGCCGGAGCTAACCTTGACACCCTTGCTCTTGGCCTCGGAGAAACCCTTGTGGCCAGACCATTCGAGCTTGTTGGTCCAAGCCTGGTTTCCAAGCCAGTTGCAGATGAAGTCGGCATCACCAGCGTAGATCAGGACGGGAATCTCATCCAGAATCTTAGGAACAAGTTTGAAGTACGGCTTCATCCAGTCACCCTGCAGAAGGAAGTTGCGGTTAATGTCAAAATTGCAGCTGTCGTAGCTGTCAACCTCAGCACCAAGAGCCTCCATAACATCGGCCTTGTTCAGCCAGTCAGAGATGTACCCGAGCTCATCATAGCACAAGTTGCCGCCCTTGCAGTCACGGCGAACATCATAAGGATTGCGGCCAGTGCGTTGGTAAGGTCCAATCATGGCATTATTGCAGTAGATGCTGGCGGGAACGCAAGTCCAGGCGCTCTCGGAGTCGTAGCAAGACTTGATCAAGGACTGGCAGCGAGGGAGGGCGTTGTCGAGGCTGAGGCACTGACTCTCATCGAGAACAGCAGGGTAGCCGCCTTCGCCACATGCCATGGGGCGATAGTACTCGTACTGAGTGTAGCCGTCGGTCAAGCCATTTCCAATCAAGACGCTCTTGAGGTTGATATTGCGGTCCTTATGTGATAGGATTTCAGAGGTAAAGACGGGGATGTAGTGTCCGGCATAAGACTCCCCAGCAATGTGGAAGTCCTGCTTAGCGTACTCTGGGAATTGGTGGAAGAAAAGAGTGAGCAGAGCGTAGATATCTTTGCCGGCAGCGACAGTGTTGCTGACCGTGCCACTACCATATGAGTAGCCCACATTGACAGGCTGGTCGAGGAAAATGACGGAGGCGTTGGCATTCCACGAGTATGGGTTATGGACGACCTCGACCTTTTTGTTGATGGAAGCAGGGCCGAGCTCCATGAAAAGACCTGTGAGCGATGAGCAGCCCGGGCCACCGTTGAGCCAGAGGACCACAGGGTCGGTTGCTGGGTCATTGCGTGACTCAAAGAACCCTGCGTGCTTTGGTCAACATCCAGTTCATCACCATTTCGACAAGCCATTGTCAATCATTATCGAGGGTGGGGAGTTTCGGGGAATGCTGGCCATGCTTACAGTAAAACAGGTGCTTGTCCTGTTCGTTGTCATCGAGGTACCCGCTGTACTGCTTTACCTTGTCGACGCCGAGCTTGGCAGGATCAACCTTTTTGGCGCGAAGACTGAAGTTATCAAGCTTGCCTCCGACCTTGCGGTGAGACTCGCCCTTTTCATTCTTGACCCAGATATTCTGAACATCGGCGCCGTGTACGACGTGATCCCACTTGCTGTTGGGGATGCGTGAGTGCTTCTTGGGCTTGGCATTGATGACGTGCTGCTTGAAGGCATCGACGGCCTCGGGGGCGAGCATGGACACTTCTTGCCATAGGGCCTTGGCCTCGGAGGTAGCCTCGCCGAATGCCTCCCTCAGGGGCTTGGTCCAGACATCGAAATCGACGTTGCCAAGCTTGTTGAAGTCGAAGCCGAGGGTTGATTTGGGGTTACTGAGAACCTTTTGGTCCTGGAGGCCGACGGCGGACGAGGCGGCGCCCAGCACTAGGGCAGAGGTAGACAGCCGCATGATGGACTATCGACTACTTTTGGCGTATGATGCAGATGTATGTAGGGCTGATAATAATGATGGTAGTATGGGAATGGAGGAATGGAGGGCTGGATGGGAGAGAAGAGGAGAGGGAGATAGGCGATGCGGAGACGCAAAGGGCGAATGCTAGCGGATGACGAGGCCGCCGCAAACGACGACACGTACGGAGTGACATGTAGCTAATTGGGGTGAGCACTTGAAGCAAGCTGGGGGGAGCCTCAGACGCGGAGCTCTCTGTGCCTAGCAACGAGCCTTCGAAGCAATCGGACCCACATGAAGGGAACCATGGGGATTCATAGGACAGATGGGTAGAATGGTGGGGCAGCAAGCCGATCATGCACCCCAGGCTGCAAGGTCTTGTACGAGCGGGCAGCGGGAAAGAAGGATAGCGTACCCGCGACACCTAAACCTCCGTGTCAAATGAGCAGAAGTGCCGGCCGAGGGATCATTTATATCACTTTAGTTTCCATGTTCAATAGGAGACGTGCGGGCACAGCCGGATCCAAACAATTACAGTGCAGGTACCTGGTGTATTGAAGTCTAAGGAATGAATCTAAGGCAGCAACGAAAACTTGAAAAGAAAAAAACAAAAAATCCCACTGACAAAAAAAGCAAATCCACGGTCTCTAATCGTCACCAACTCCCATTGCTCCCACGTCTATCCGAAAGCGACTAGTGCAAAATCCTATATCGAAAGGGGCAAAAGTAAAAAAGTCCAGTCAATTAGGACGATGCAGCGCACTGCTGGCCAGTCGCCTGGTTGACGCAGACTTGCGTGAGAACCGTCTCGCCGCCCGACTGGTAGTAGCCCTCGCCGCAGGAGCCGCCGACGTTGCAGAAGATGCTGTCGCCGCACTTGGGTCCGTCCTGGGGGAACTGGGGATCGGGCTTGTTGTTGCACGTCCCGGTCTTGACGCAAACGTTGGAGCTGGTGCCGGAAAAGGCGAAGTCGCTGGGGCCGCAGATGTAGCCGGGGAGGCAGTCGGCGCTGGTGTTGCACTGGGGGGTGGCGGCGCTGGCAGCGAGAGCCATGGTGACGGCGGCGAGAGCAGACTGGAAGACGAGGCCGACCATTTTGACGATGTTTGGTTGTGGTGGTTGTGGTTGTGGTTGTGGTAGTTGTTGTTTATGTGTATGGATGGTGGTGGTGGATATAATTTGGAGAGAGCTGAGGGTAGACGAGGCAGAAGAGTGCTTGTTTGTTTGATTGCTTTGCTGATGAGTGTCAGGATATTTTTCCAACGAGGAACTGCATCTTTATTTATACCCGTCTCGAAGCGCAAACGAAGCACGACAGCCGCCGTATCAAACAGCTCGTGAATAGTGGCAGCAGAGGCGACCTTGGAGCATTGAGGCTGTCCATGTTTGGCTGTCACCACTGCCGTCATCCGCCCTGCGGCTTCTCCGAGCTCGTCAACGGCTGAGTCCATGCCGCTTCATTGCTGGGGTGGCTTTGCCCGGGAGAGCAGACACCGATGGCTTCATTCTTCCATTTGCTGCGGTGGAACTCGTGGCTTGCCGTGACAGCATCTCCGCGCACCTTTAGGAAACACCACAACGAGGACCATTCTATATTAAGATTTCTCAAAGGTGTTGGCACAATACTGGGCTATGCACTTGATAGCTCATTGCCCTATTTGGCCTCCACTCGTGTTGTAGACGGTTTGACTCAACGTAGCCAGCGGGCCAACATGGATTGGCCCATGGAGTCTGGACAGTTACTTTTTGCAAAAGAACAGATGGCTGCAAGGATGCAGAATAGAGAGTCCTTTCTCCCTGAACCGCATCTAGTAGAGATGCAGCACATCCCACAAAGATCATCAGGGGAACATGCCATAGCTACACCACCATTCAACACTCGGCACATCGTCGTCCACCAAAGCTTCCGCACCATCGGTTCCGCCGGCACGCGGGATATTCTGCACCGAGGCCTGTCAGATTGTCCTTCTAGTAAAACAGAGAGGGCAGAGGGATGCCATTGTTCCAGTAGCAGGTAGGGCAGCCTTAGCAGCCCAGCCGGGTTTCGCTCCTCCAAGCCATCTCACATGGCCATCCTCTTCTAGCCACCACGTCATGGGGACGATTGTAGCTTCACCCAGTCACACGCGACCGTTTGGCAGATCCCGGAGAAGGGTGTTGGCGGCACGACCGATGGCTGTGAAGCCGTGGCACTAAACTCGGTACAAGAACACATGGCTTGCCGTGGCTGAAGTTGCATCCACACATAACAACGTCTGGTTGAATACATCGGCCGACTGCCGGCCCCAAGGATGATTGCCTTGACCACCATCATGGTGCTGGGTGGTGGCTATGTTTATCACGAGAAAGCACGGCATGCTCACGCATGTATATTCGGTCCGTTTGGCAACCGTCGAATTGCGGGAGATGAACATGTCCAATTCGGACATCGGGTCAACTTGTAAACATGGTCAACACGCCCGACATTCATGTTGAGCCGTTGATACCAGAGCGCGGCATCAGAATTCCTCCGTCAATTCAAAGGAGTCTATGTTGCATCGAAGTTCTGAAAAAATACCCACACGTTCCTACTCTTTAACACGAGCTCCAGAGAGCCCAGCAACTCTGCCAGACGCTTCATCGCCTTCGCCTGGTCGTAGTGCAGAGAGTTCCCCTCCCCGTCCCAATACACTTTGACGACACCCTGTCTTATCGGTTGAATACACATCATTTATTGGCCCGACAGTCGCCGCTGGGAGGGATATTGTGCCACTTGGCAAAAGGGTCATCGCAAGGATCCTTGGCCCTCACATACTCCACGGCACCCTGAATCGTGTGCGAAGTATTCTTGTTGTACACTGTATCAACAAACTCAAAGACAAGATCAAACCCAGACGTCACCTACACACACAAAACAAACAGTCAGCATGTTGCAACTGTCGGTCCGAGCCTCCTCCAGAAGGCCCAAGGACGAAAGGCCACAAAAATAGGGAAGCCACCAAACTTACACCCGACGAAGTCCAAATGTTACCGTCCACGGTCCATCTTGCCGGCGACACCCACTTCACATTTGGGCCCATCTTGACAATCTCATTCCAGGCCGCCTTGTTCGTCGTGGCCCTCTTCCCATCCAGGACACCAGCTCTGGCTGCAACGCCCGCGCCGGTGCAAGTGGTGAGGAGGTACTTGACCTTGGGGTATGTCTTGCGCACAAAGTCGACAACGGGCTCGGACGAGTTTCCGCGTCTCATGCCCAGCCCACCGGGGACAAGCAGGATTTCAATGTCGTCGGGCGGGTTGTCAAACGTATGCGTCGGGTTGAACGAGGCCGTGAAGTTGGAGCCGGCCTTGTTCAACTCCGGCAGAGGCGGCCGCATCCACACGGGCGCCATGGTATCAGCGAGGAAATACAGATTCAGCTGCTGCGAGAGGGACAAGATGTACAGAACGTCTATGGGCCCGAAAACGTCGATGACGTCGAGGCCGTCGTACAGAGCGACTGCCCAATTCTTTGGGGGCTCTACCTCGTCAAGGAGGGGACATGTCAGTTTTTTTCTTTCCGTTGGTGGGTATGATGGCAGCTCGTCGAGAGGATGGCCTCGTAAAAGAGTGTGTAACATGGTATTCAGCTTGCCTCACCTGTGACATTGCACGCCGTCCTGCGCATCACCTTTGCAGAGGCGGCCACAGCAAAAGCAGCCAGCCAGACAATCAGCTTAAACTCCATCGTGGTAAATGAACTCAAGAGCGACGATAGGCGGGGACATCATCTCCATGTCTTCTTCTTTTGCAAGAGTAGCACCGGCAAAGGTTTATACTAATATCATCTTTGCTTCCGCGCACGGCCCCAACCTGCCCACTCGGCATGTCATATCGTGACGCTCGGGGCCAATGTGCTGGTTGATGATCTTGGCATCCCGAGGTTGACAAGACTTGAATGATGTGATGCAGGGATCGAGACAACTTCTCGACCCCCCAAGCTCTGCGCCATGTTCAAATTCGACGCATGAAGCTTATAATTTGAAAGCAAATAGGGCCTGTTTTCAGCCAACATCTCTGTCTACCCTTGTTAGCGACATCTCAAGCTAGCAAGGGCCGCATAAATGCCTCATGCGACAACCGAGAATGACATACCATTGGCGGAATTAGATGGTTCAAGATGCTTGTCATCTATGCGAACCATTGGGAATAGAAAGTTCCTAGCCAAAGGGGCTTCAATACCGCTAATTGACCAATTTCGGCCAGCAGATTGGATTTGACCCCTTCGTACATATGTGTAGAACGTCCTGGCTGCAATAGCTGGTATAAATAGCAAGCATCTTACAACTCTTCGAACCCCTTTTGATCGCAATACATACATATCCCCTGTCTTCCCATGCTGTTCCAAGTAGCCACACAGTGGCAAACTTGGCATAGTACTTGGAAATTGCCGGCTCGTATTATTATTTCCGCCCGATGAGCCACGCTTGGTGGATCTCGGGTATTAATTAGGCAAAGGCGATAAGGGCGAGCCAACCAGCTGGTAATAGTCCTCTGAAACACGATATTTCCTTTACGGAACCCTGTATGTGGCCCTCGCTCTACCAAAGACGACCCGAAAGTTCCGAACATGATGCGTTACTAAGGTTCTAGTTGCCGGGTACCAAGTTCAACCAAATATCAATGGGTCTTGACTGGATTTGACATGTACAGTACAATATATGTATCATGCACCACGGCATCAGAAACTCGGTACTGGTCCTTCGGCAAAACTAGTTTGTAAAAGTGGAAAGGGCCGGGATTTGCGTCGAGCGTTTATGAGTATGTACGTTGACCCGTGCGGACGAGGTGTTCGTGCTGATAATGGCCGGCTGCTACGCAATGTGACGACGTGTCTTTCGAATGTCCACACGACGAGAGAGTGGCACTCCCCCCGTACGGGGTCAAACAACATATCAACTCTATTTGTCTATGATAAAATGAGTTTCTGCCCTATGCTTCACTTCCTCCCTCTGCGGCGGCTTCCTTCTCCTTTGCTTTTT